TGCCTTCGGCTTAGGTTATGATTCCAGGGTCCTGGGATCGAGTCCCGCATCTGACTCCCTGCTCAATAGGAAGTCTGCTTCTCCCTCTCCCTCTGCTTCTCTCCCTGCTTGTGCTGTCAAATAAATAAAATCTTAAAAGAAAAGGCAAAACTAACCTATGGTGATGAGAATCTGTAGTTCTACCCCTGGGAGGGCAGTTGATTGGAAGGGGGCAGGAGGAAGCCTTCTGGAGTGTTATAACTGTTCTAAATCTTGATTTGGGATGTTGGTAACACATACGTAAATATCTAGTGATTCACTTAAGATTTGAGTATTTTACTGTATGTAGTGCAGTACTGCACCTCAGTGTTTGTTTTTTTTTTTTAAAGATTTTATTTATTTATTTGAAAGACAGAGATCACAAGTAGGCAGAGAGGCAGGCAGAGAGAGAGGGGGAAGCAGGCTCCCCGCAGAGCAGAGAGCCCGATGTGGTGCTCCATTCCAGGACCCTGGGATCACGACCTGAGCCGAAGGCAAAGGCTTTAACCCACTGAGCCACGCAGGCGCCCCATCCTCAGTGTTTTTTAAAAAGCAGATTTCCCCCTGGCCAAGTCCTACCATACGGATAGTGAGGGTTGGGGTGATGTCATGCCTCTTGGTGAGTGGGGTTGGGGCACAGTGGCTGTAGGCCTAGAAATGTGGCCAACATCTTTTGGGTGTCCCCTGCTCTATATTCTCCAAGATCTCCCAGGACACACATACAAAGACAGGCCTCCAGCAGCCGTTCTAACAAATGAGCCCATCTTTTCACTCTACCACTATATCTATCTATCTATCTATCTATCTATCTATATCTCCCACATTTTCTCTATCCATTCATCAGTCAATGGACATTTGGGCTCTCTCCATAGTTTGGCTACTGTTGGTGATGCTGCTATAAACATCGGGGTCCATGTACCCCTTCAAATCTGTATTTTTGTGTTAAGATTTTATTTTTAAGTAATCTCTACACTCCAGGTGGGGCTCGAACTTACTGAGCCAGTCAGGAGCTCCCAATCCCATGTTCCTTTTGCTCTTAGTCAGGACCTCTGCTGATTAGAGTTCTTTTTTTTTTTTTTTTTTTTTTTTAAGATTTTATTTATTTGTCAGAGAGAGAGGGAAAGAGAGTGAGCACAGGCAGACAGAATGGCAGGCAGAGGCAGAGAGAGAAGCAGGCTCCCCGCCGAGCAAGGAGCCCGATGTGGGACTCGATCCCAGGACGCTGGGATCATGACCTGAGCTGAAGGCAGCCGCTTAACCAACTGAGCCACCCAGGCGTCCCCTGATTAGAGTTCTTTGGGCTGTGTCGTGGCCCAGACTTCTATTCCGGAGATATCTGGGTCTTGATGGGTCTGCCCCTGTGCTGGGTTACTAAAGTCTTTACTAACTTATTCCTGACTGCCGTTAATTTTCACAACTGCATGTGACAGTAATGGGAGGCAACCTAGGCATTTCCTGAGCTCTAAATGCATTCCTTCTGCTCCCTCTGTGTATACCACATTCTCTGATCTAGATTGTCAGGATACCCAACCAAAATCAGTAATCTCTTTTGAAATATTAAAGTATACACAGAAAAATTCGCGCTTTACAGTGTATAGTTTTATGACAAACGCATATATCGTGTCACCACCACCACCACAACCAAGATACAGAACACTTGTATCATCCTAAACAATTTCCTCGGATGGCCCCTTTGTAATCAACCCCACCACCAGAGCCGTGCTGGCAACCACAAATATGTTTTATTCTCTAGTGTTTTGGCTTTTCCATAATGTAATAGAGATGAAATCAGACAATATGTACTTAAATTTTTTCTTTTTTTTTTTTATGGCTTCTTAGCATAATGCATTTGAGATTCATGCATGTTGTGTCAGGCTTAGGAAGTTCGTTTATATTGCTGGCTATGGTGTGTTGTGTGGATGGAACCATAGTGCGTCTATCTATTCCCCGGCTGAAGGACAATTGGGTTATTTCTGAAAAGTTTTGGCAATTATTAATAAAGCTGTTATACGTAGGGGCACTTGGGTGACTCAGTGGGTTAAGCGTCTGACTTTTGATCTCGGCTCAGGTCTTGATCTCAGGGTCTGATCTGAGGAATTCTGATCTGATCTCAGGAGTTCAAGCTCTATGCGGGGCTCCTGGGTGTGGAGCCTACTTAAACCAAAACCCAAACCAATACAAAACAAAACCCCCAAAACCAAAAAGGGGCATCTGATGTGGCTCAGCTAATTGAGGGCTGGACACTTGATTTTGGGTCAGGTCATGATCTCAGGGTCATGGGTTCAAGTCTCTAGTGGGTTTCCATGCTCAGCAAGGACTCTGCTTGCGATTCTCCCTCTCCCTCTGCCCCTCCCCTTCCCATGCACACTCTCTCAAGTAAATAAAATAAGGCTTTACAAAGAGAGAGAAAATAAAGCTGTTATACATACTCATGTATAAATTTCTGTGTGTGTGCAAGTTCTCAGTCCTCTGGGGCAAACACTCAGCAGTGAGATGGCTGAGTCTCATGGCAAATGTTTGTTTCAGTGTCTCAAATATGTCAGACTGTCTTCCAAAGGGGCTGAACTAATATGTATTCCTTAAAAAAAAAAAAAAGCATTCCTACCAGCAAAGTAAAAATATTTCAATTGCATTCCACATCCTCACCAGCACTTGGCACTGCTGATTTTTTTTTTTTTGGTTTCTTTATTTTTTTTTCTTTTTTCCTTTTTTGGTTTTTACTTAAACAATTTTTTTAAAGATTTTATTTATTAATTTACAAAGGGAAACACAGCGAGAGAGGGAACACAAGCAGGGGTAGTGGGAGAGGGAGAAGCAGGCTTCCCGCTGAGCAGGGAGCCTGATGTGGGTCTCAATCCCAGGACTCTGGGATCATGACCTGAGCAGAAGGCAGGCACTTAATGACTGAGCCACCCAGACACCCCTGTTTTTTTTTTTTTAATTTTTTAGTAGTGAAAAATCAGAAACTGACAAAATACTCTAGAAAGGGGAAATGATTAAATGATTACATACTCTGTATCAATATACAAGTATTAAAATCATGTTTTTGAAAAAATAGTAATATGAGAAAATATTAATGGTGTACAGCTAAGTGAAAAAATTAGGTACTAAATTGTCCAGCTGTGTAAAGCAGTATATGCAGAAGGAAGGAAAAGCACCAAAATGTTAACAGAAGTAATAATAATAGTGATAAACATTTTGAGTACTTTTATATGTGAGTCCCTGAGCCAAACAGTTTACATATGTTATTTTACCTAACCTTTATATGATAGACACTATTTTTTAAAAATATTTATTTATTTGAGAGAGAGAATGAGAGAGAGAGAGCATGAGAAGGGGGAGAAGGTCGGAGGGAGAAGCAGACTCCCTGCTTAGCAGGGAGCCTCATGTGGGACTTGATCCTGGGACTCCAGGATCATGACCTGAGCCAAAGGCAGTCACTTAACCAACTGAACCACCCAGGTGCCCCAATACTATTTTTAAAAAGATTTTGTTTATTTATTTGAGGAAAGGGGAGGAGCAGAAGGAGAGGGACACGCAGACTCCCACTGAGTGTGGAGCTCCCTGGTGCCCCCTTTCCCCATCTCCATATGCTGAGATCATGACCTGAACTGAAACCAAGAGTCAGACAGACACTCAACCACCAACTGAGCCACCCAAGTGCCTCTATGATAGATACTATTATCCTCCCCACTTTACAGATGAAGAAACTGAGGCATAGGAAGGTTAAATACACAGACGGTCACATAGGTCGTAAGTGGCTAACTCAATACAGATCTGTCTAAAGCCAAAGACTGTGTTTTTAAGGTGATCATGGCTCTCCCTAGTTCTTGGGGTTGTGCATGATTTATATTCTTCTATGTAACTTTCCCGAATTTTCCTGTCTCTCTACATCAAACATGTTTACCTTGCAGTCAGGAGAAATATATATTTTGAAAAAGAGGGGTAAAAAAGAAATATGCAGGGGCGCCGGGGTGGCTCAGTGGGTTAAGCCTCTGCCTTTGGCTCAGGTCATAATCTCAGGGTCCTGGGATCAAGCCCAGCATGGCGCTCTCTGCTCAGCAGGGAGCCTGCTTCCCTCTCTTTCTCTCTGCCTACTTGTAATCTGTCAAATAAATAAATAAAATCTTAAAAAAAACCAAATATGTAACAAAAACATAAACAGGAAAAAACATAAAGGAAAAAGGTACTGTATTGAACAAATCATGTGTAAGGTTTGGGAGGCTTCCTTTGGGGTACTTCGTAGTTGTTATGACACTATCAGTCTGCATTGCAAATATACATATGCATATACATGTATGTAAGTATCTCACCATCTTTGAGGGCAAGGGCTCTGTCATTTTTATCTCTGTGGTTTTGCTTAGGGAAGATATCCTCCAACATAGGGCTTAGGACATAGTATGCTCTTAGTAATTGTTGTTTGAGAGAAGTCACAGAGACCAGAAACCAGTGACCGGAAGACACAATCAGAAAAGGTTTTGCTGGACTCCAGGGGGTTGGGAGTTCTGAGAAGGCGACTAGGGAGCCAGGGAGGGTTTGGATGGGACTGGGGTGGGGGTGGGGGTGGGAGAACAGATAGTGCTCAGGACGAGGTTTTGGTTTTGCATCAGGAATTGAGCGGGAGGACTGTGACAGTGACAGTCGCAGCCCCAGCCTCCCAGTTTTTGGAAGCTCTCCCACCCACACCCCGGCCCTGGCGCTCAGGAGGGTTTAGAAAGGTCTCAGTTTCCTGTGGCTGGAGTGCGCGATGGGCGGGCCAGGCGCTCCCCGCCCCTCCCCCGGCCGGGTCTCGGGTTCCAAAGCCTCCTCTGACCCGATTCCCGCGGCGCTGGCCGCGGTGCTGAAGCAGCACTTTCGTAGGCGGGAGGAAGGAGGGACCGAGCAGCGCGAAGAGGCGGAGCTCTCTGGAGCCCGGAGCTGGAAATGGGGGGAGGGGCAGGGCGGCGCCAGTAGGCCCAAGACCTTGGCAGGCTGGAGAGGAAGACCGGAGACAGCCTGGCTAGAGCGGACAAAGGCATCTGGACAAGCTTACGCTGAAGAAACCAAGGTTGTCTTCCTGGTCTTATTAATCCTCTTTCCTCTTCTTGGAGGAACTCTCACCTTGTATCCTTACCTCAGCCTCCTTCCCGGCCCGGCTAAGGAGTGACCCACTCCTAGGCCTCTGTCTGCTAAGCCACTGGCTTACAGTCCACAGGATTCCAGCCAAGGGCCTACGTCCTCACCATGGTGAAGTTGCTGCCTGCGCAGGAGGCAGCCAAGATCTACCATACCAACTATGTGCGCAACTCCAGGGCTGTGGGTGTGATGTGGGGCACACTCACCATCTGCTTCTCTGTACTGGTCATGGCCCTCTTCATCCAGCCCTACTGGATCGGTGACAGTGTTAACACACCCCAAGCAGGCTACTTTGGCCTTTTCTCCTACTGTGTGGGCAACGTGCTGTCCTCTGAACTCATCTGCAAGGGTGGCCCGCTGGACTTCTCCTCCATTCCCTCTAGAGCCTTCAAGACCGCCATGTTTTTTGTGGCATTGGCCATGTTCCTCATCATTGGCTCCATCATCTGCTTTAGCCTCTTCTTTGTCTGCAACACGGCCACTGTCTACAAGATCTGCGCATGGATGCAGCTGGCTGCAGGTGAGCAGGATTAATGGGAGGACTAGCAGGGCCCAACCCAGGGAAGGTGCAGCATTCCACCCTCTGTGGATGCTCTGGGTCTCTTACCCAGGTGCTCTCCTTTACATTTATTTTATTTTTTTTTTCAAAGATTTAATTTTTTTAAAGTAATCTTTACTCCCAAAGGGGGCTTGAACTCACAACCCCAAGATCAAGAGTTATACCGACTGAGCCAGCCAGGCGCCCCTCAGCTGTTCTCCTTTAGCCCAGCCATACTCAGTGCTTAAGCTTAAGCTCATACTCTGCTGAAGCTTCTGAGGAGTAGAGAATTTTAGAATGGCTGAGACCGAAAGAATTGTTGAGATCAAATTGTTCAACCCCCTCATCTTGTGGATGGGAACTGAGGTCCAGAGAGGGGAAGTGACTTGCCCAGGAGCACACAACTAGTTGGTAGAAGGTGTCCCGACTCCCAGGCCACCACATCAGAGGTTGTTTGCTCTGGGAAGGAAAAAGAAGGAAACTTCCATTGTTGGCCATGTGGGAATAGGATCCAACCCAGGGTAAAATTGTTAAGCACATCCTAGATGTCTCCATCTCCCAGTTCTGGGCATTTGCTCTTTCTCCTTTAAGGACCCACAGATCCCTGTCCTCACTCCTTCCCTCCCACCCCAGATTGCTCTCAAGGAGATTCTAAGATCAGTTATTGATTTAGAGTGTTATGCTGTGACCTTTCCCATAGAAACTTGCATTTAAGTTCCCTTTCATGGTGGAATGAAAGTCTTTGTTCCCTAGTTATAGGTTTCCATACTTGAAGCAATAAATGGGAGTGGTATTTTGTGATGGGGGAGTAGGGTAGTGGCTAGAGTCTTTTTTTTTTTTTTAAGATTTTTTTTTTATTTGACAGAGAGAGAGAGAGAGTGGGAAGGGCAGAGGGAGAAGCAGACTCCCCGCCGAGCAGGGACACCTATTTGGGGCTCGATCCCAGGACCCTGGGATCATGACCTGAGCTGAAAGCAGACGTTTAACCAACTGAGCCACCCAGGCACCCCAAGTGGCTAGGGTCTTTAAAACTGTATGGGGTAGGTGGCTACTTATGGTGCCCAGAAACAAGGCCTTCCCTGCCCCTTTTTCTTGCTCCTGGCCCAGGCAGGCCTCTCAGCCCTTGAGCCTGCTGGTCCTGTTCTCTAAGCCTTGTCCTGCAGGCCTCGGTCCCGTCCTATCCCAAGGACCAGGCACAGGCTGCCCATACTGGGAAATGTCTAGGAGCAGTGCTAGGACTGCAGACTAGAGAGAAAACCATCTTGACATCATTGGTTAGAATGAGAAGCAGTATTATCCATAACAGGGGGAGTGAAGCAGGGATCAGAATCCCAGACAACCAAACACATAGACTCAAACACTCTGTCAGAGTTGGAGGGGGACCCCAGAGAGGTGTAGGTATCCCTGCCAGCTACAGTGAGGAATCTGGGAATAAGGAAAAGACTTGTCCAAGTCTATAGCAAACCAACCGGTGACTAAGGACCTAGGGGAATTAAGGCAGTGGGTTCTAAGAAACTGGATGTATTCCAAAGACATTTTTATTGAGCCACACATTTACATAGGTATAATGGCTGACCAAGCACTTTCATATATATCATCTGAAGGAACCCCATCCCTACCTTAGTGAGGGAGATATTCCTCTTATTTTATAGATAAGCTCTTAGTGGGTAACTTATCTTTTAGCACAGGTAGTGATGGACAGAACCTTTGATTCAAAATCTTGTACTCAGGGTAGTCACCTGGCTCCGGAGCTGCTTCCCCAATCCATCTACCTACTCCCTCTCCTCTGGTCTCTATACATTGAGGGAGAGGCTGGGGCAGGGCTAAGGTAAATCTCAGTGGGCAGTGGGGAGAAGGTGGGAGAATGAAGACTTAGCAGTTCTGTGACAAAGAAGAGTAGAATGGACCCTGGCATGGTTACCAGCTGGTCCACCATATCAGAGCTATGGAAGGCTGGAAACAACCATTTCTCTCATTCTCCATGCTGCCCCCTCCCACAACATCCTGCAGCAAGTGCCATTTGCTGAACAGGCAGTGTGCTTGGGAAGGCCTGGGTGGGGGAGGCATCAGCAGGCCATTTGAATTAGACTCCAGATCATGAAGCTAGAGACACTGATAGCAGAGGTGGCCGGATGCCATCCTGTGAAACATTTATGTTGGGGAAGGGTAAAGGTGGTGTCATGTTCCATTCTTTAATGGAGAGGAATGAAAGACGAGCCAAAGGGGGCGATGAAGAGGGCAGACAGCAGATGGGACTAAACCAGTTAGTTTACCCTTGCCAAGAAGCCTGAGACCAGGGAGGGGAGCAGGAGAAAGGAAAGAGGATCGATGACTGGGGCAGTGTGAGGCTGTAGTTTAACAATGTTAATCCAGCTTCTGGATGCCAGGTGTAAGCTGTGTGTGGTTCCAGCTCCTAGAAACCCAGGTATGGCAAGTTGCTTGTCTCTCTGAGTCTTGGTAACCTCCCCTCTAGAATGTAGTAACAGACCTCCTATCACAAGGTTCTGGTGAGGATGGGATGTCTAATACACATAAAACACCTTCTCCAGCGCTTGACACATAGCAGGTGCTCAGTAAATGTGAAAAAAACACAAAAGCCACTTTATCAGTCAGGATGGATGAGGTGACAAATAACTCCCAAATCTTAATGGCTTAAAACAAAGCTTCAGTTTTTGTTTCCAGTGCGTGCCCACTGAGGACCAGCTGGGGGCTCTGCTCTCACTGTTCTCTCCTGGAACCCTGGCCGATGGAGCATCTGCTGTCATCTGGCTGGTGTCATTGCAGAGCGAAAGGATGCTCTGGAAGGTCTCTCTCTAGTGGTTAAATGCTCTGGCCTGGAAATGCACACATTTTGTTGTCTAAGGGAAGTCTTGAGGCCTTACCTAACTTGAAAAGAGGAGAGCAAGGAAGTACAACCCTACTATGTACGTGAAATACCTGTGAACACCTCTAATGACATCCACATCCACTGAAGTTGCTTCCATTCACTTGGCTTCAATACCAATAACAATAGCAACGATGGACAGGCACTGGTTGCCTACCATGAACCAGATGCTGCCGTGAGCGTTTTCCCTACATGACCATATGTAATCCTTACAGCTCTGCTGTAAGGATTTTTTGGAAATTAGTATTTTAAATAAATATTAGGGATTCGTAAATTCAGGGAAGTGTGAGCAGCTGCACTGACCTGTACTGGGTTAGGATGAAGAGACCTATTTGCTTGAATGAAAGGTTCACAAAGGAAGCAGCCAGAGAGGGGGCTGGAAGACTTCATGTATTCATTAAATCTAAGATTCCAAGTTGTAGGACATGCTGTTATTCTATGTGCAAATACTTGTTCTTTTTTTTTAAAGTAGCCCAAGGGAGGGCTTGAATTCACGACCCAGAGATTAAGACCTGAGCTGATATCAAGAGTTGGATGCTTAACCAACTGAGCCACCCAGGTGCCCAGGAAAAATACTTCTACTCGAACCACAGCCTGAACCTTTCTTATTATAAGTATTTCAGAGATACTGGAGTATGAACAATTGTGCATCTTAGAAGTGATGAGTTCTCTGGACTGAGAACGGATTTTGCGGGGGTTTGAAGCCAGGGTCGCTAGTGCCTCATCAAGTCCAACGTCAGGGGCGTGGCTGCGGGCCTGGTAGGACCACCTGGTGCCATGGCAGAATCTTCCCTGGGTGGGAGAGCTCCGCTTTCTGCCTCTACTCCTGACCAAAGGGAAGTCATTTTAGCTCTTGGATCCTCAATTTTCTCCCCTGGGTTCTACAAGAATGATGGTAGGCACTGCCCCATACCTCTCAAGGCTGTTAACACGAAAAGAAGGGAGGTGACAAGATAGCAGCAGTGCAGGGCGCCTGGGTGGCTCAGTGGGTTAAGCCTCTGCCTTCGGCTCAGGTCATGATCTCCAGGTCCTGGGATGGAGCCCCATATCAGGCTCTCTGCTCGGCAAGGAGCCTGCTTCCTCCTCTCTCTTTCTGCCTGCCTCTCTGCCTACTTGTGATCTCTGCCTGTCAAATAAATAAGATCTTTAAAAAAAAAAAAAAAGCAGCAGTGCAAGGTGGGAGGTGGCAGGCTGAGCACACCTAGCCTGATGCTGTCTGCCCGCACTTCTGCCCCCTCAGCCACAGGCCTGATGATTGGCTGCCTGGTCTACCCCGACGGTTGGGACTCAAGTGAGGTGCGGCGCATGTGTGGGGAGCAGACAGGCAAGTACACACTGGGCCAGTGCACCATCCGCTGGGCCTTCATGCTGGCCATCCTCAGCATTGGAGACGCCCTCATCCTCTCCTTCCTGGCCTTTGTGCTGGGCTACCGGCAGGACAAGCTCCTCCCTGATGACTACAAGGCAGATGGAAAAGGTAATTCACCATCCCCCCGGGAGTTGGGGCTTCCTCTCCACCAGTCGCCAGAGGATTGTCCCTAGCCTGGGGTTGGGGACACCAAGACCAATCAGACACAGCCCTTATTCCAGAAGCCAAGGGCCAGTGGGGGTTTACAAGCCAGCAGGTGATGAGGGAGGCTGTCTGTGATAGAAGGGTGTCCTCCTGCCTCCCGCACACCCCCACTCCCATCAGGGTCTACAGGGGAGAGAACTCTGATCCAGCCTGGGACCTAGGGATGGCCTCCAGTAGAAGGTGGCACTGAGGCTGGGTCTGGAAGTTCACTGGGAGTTTGGTAGAGAGAGGAACAACAGGTGAGCAGAGGGGCTGAGTTGTTGGGGCAGGAGGAGAAAGGTAGGTTAGGGGGGCAGAAGTGACAGCTCTTGGAGTGCAGATGGTGGGTGCTCCCTTGAGCTGGGGAGAGAGCCTTGGGGTTCTCTGTATGCCATCCTGTTTCAATTTCTGCCCTGCCCAAGTCCTATCCCTGAGTCGCAAGAGTCAGTTGTAGCTGACCCAAAGCCAGGCAGACCCTTCAGCCTTTTCTGTTTCCCATTGACCTTTCTTCCTCCTAGGGTACTTTCTGCTTCTGTATCTCATTAGGCACTTCTCTTGTGTTAAGGGGCTTTTTAGGGGCATAAATTTTATCTCCTAGTCATAGGGCATTCCTGTCTCACACCCTTGTCAATTCCCAAATGCCTACTTCCAGCAGGCAGCCGCTGTGAGGGGCCTGTGGCTCCACAGGGACCCCTCCAGTCTCCTTTCCCCACAGTTGTCTTCACCCGATTGCCCTGAACTAGAAGAAAGAGGCAAACTTCCTTGCTCGCCCCGCCCCCCCATGACCAAGGACCCTTCCCAGATAAGGAACTTGAAGCCCAGGAGGGAGACCCACCCAGAGGTACACAAAAAGGTGGTGACAAGGAAGACCCAAAATTCTGGTCTTCTCTAGCTCAGCCCAGCACCCACTTCTCCACAAGGAAGTAATCAAACATCTCGTCCTTGTTTGGGAGTTTAGGAAGACTCACACACCTAAGTTTTGTGGTTAAAGATGAAAAGCAAATTATTAGAATGAGCTGGGCCAAGGAGGAGAGAAGAGCGAGGTATCTTTCCATTGCGGGAGCACTTAAGGTCTGGGTCCCTTGTAAACCCAATAAGGGGAAGGGAAAAAGGAACTAGTATTTACTGAGCCTTTTCCATGTGCAGAAGTGATGTGAGTTTTGTTCACAGGAGCCATTTTTATTTAATCTGCACAGCAACCCTGTGAGGACAAGTTGGAGGTGGGGAGTCCAGCAGCAATGGGCACAGCCAGCATTTTCTCCAGTAATGGAGGGTTTCTCAGGGAAGTTTCAGAAGGAGCTGATGGAGGCATTTTGTTCAGCTCTCAGCCTCAAGGTCGGCCCAACCTGCCTTAGAATATTTTACATTACTCATGTGCATTCTTTCCTTTTCAGAAGGGATTCTTTCAGCTGGAAAGAAATTCTATTGACATCATTCATTCATTCATTCATTCATTCAATAGGCTCCACACCTAGCATGGAGTCCAAAGCTCACAACCCTGAGATCAAGATGCAAGCTAAGATTAAAAGTCAGACACTTAGGGCGTCTGGGTGACTCAGTTGTTAAGTGTCTGTTTTTGGCTCAGGTTCTGATCCCAGGGTCCTGGGATCGAGCCCCACATTGGGCTCCCTGCTCAATGGGAAGGCTGCTTCTCACTCTCCCACTCCCTGTGCTTGTGTTCCCTCTCTCACGGTGTCTCTGTGTCAAATAAATAAATAAAATCTAAAAAAAAAAAAAAAAAAAAAAAAGAGACACTTAGCCGACTGAGCCACCCAGGTGCCGCCACATAATTCCTTTTAAAGTGGTTTTTTTTTTTTTTTTTTTAAAGATTTTATTTATTTATTTGACAGACAGAGATCACAAGCAGGCAGAGAGGCAGGCAGAGAGAAAGGAAGGGAAGCAAGCTCCCTGCCGAGCAGAGAGCCTGATGCGGGGCTTGATCCCAGGATCCTGGGATCATGACCTGAGCTGAAGGCAGAGGCTTAACCCACTGAGCCATCCAGGCGCCCCTAAAGTGGTTTCTTCTTTTTTTTTTTTTTAAGTTTTTTTTTTTAATTCATTTAACAGAGAGAGAGAGCGAGAGAGATCCCAAGTAGGCAGAGAGGGAGGGGGAAGCAGGCTCTCCACAGCAGAGAGCCTGATGCGGGACTCAATCCCAGGATCCTGAGACCATGAGCTGAGCCGAAGGCAGAGGCTTAACCCACTGAGCCACCCAGGCGTCCCTAAAGTGGTTTCTTATGAAGAGATGGTTTTGTCCCTTTGACACTTTTCTTTACAAATAAAAATGTCTGTTCACTCTTTTCTCCTTCCTTGTCCTTCTCCTTTCAGATCCCATGCACTTGCCATCAATCTTTTCAGAGTTTTTCCTCTCCATATTTTAGTTCCTTCACTATCATGGAGGACTTAGTTTATCCTTTTAGTTTATTACCTGTTAGAAAACACTCACATAACCTTTCTGAATAGATCTAACTACTCAGTGACGTAGTTATTGCCTCTGTCAAAGCACAGAATTGGGTCAGGAAAGCAGAGGTTGAGTCCCAGTTCTGCCAGGCCACTTTCTTCAAGGGGAAAAGGGGGACACCAACTCCTGCTCTGCCCCCTCCATTATTGTGTGGCATGAACGAAACAATGAAAGCAGAAATGAAACCTTGCACAAGTACATAGTTGTCAAGGGGTTAAGGAGGCAGAGAGTGAGCGTGGGCTTTGGAGTCAGATCTGGGTTTAAAATTTGGGCTCTGACAAACCATAAGGGACTCTTAAGCATAAGAAACAAACTGAAGGTTGCTGCAGGAGGGTGTGGGGGATGGGGTAACAGGGTGATACATGTTAAGAAGGGCCTGTGATGTAATGAGCACTGGGTATTATATAGGACTGATGAATCACTGACCTCTATCACTAAAATCAATAATACATTATATGAGAATTGAATTTAAATAAAAATAAAGTTTGGGCTCCATTGTTATCTAGTTGTGACTTTGCAGAGATTACTCAATTTCTCTGAGTCTCAGTTTCCTCATCTCAGCCTCATTTTTATGGAGATGAGGTGGCCGGTTTCTCCTCATTTGTAAAAAATACCTGCTTCAAAAAGTCGTGAACAAGAGAAGGCTCAGCAAGAAGATGAGGATGTCTTCTCCTGTCACTGCTGCGGAAGATTGTACTGAAGATTATAGCCAGGGTGATTAGGCTAGAAAAAAAAAGGAAAGAAATCCAGTTTGGAGACGAAGAAGTACAACTGTCTGTATTAGCAGATGACATGATTTTGCATATGGAAAATCCTAAATAATCCACTAAGAAACTATTAAAGCTAATATACAACATCAGTGAAGTTGCGGGATATAAGCAGTATACAAAAATTTGTTGCCTTTGTATAAACTAGCAATGAATGATTTGAAAATGATATTAGGAAAACAGTTTCATTTATAATAGCATCAGAAAGACTAAAATACGTAGAAATAAATTTAACGAGAAGTGTAAGATTTGTACATGAAAATTAAAAGACATTGTTGAAAGATATCAAAGGCCTAAATAGATGGAAACATCTATATTCATCGCTCAGAAAACTTAATACATTAAGATGGCAATGCTCCCCAAACTGATCTACAGATTCAATGCAATCCCTATCAAAATCCCAGCTGGCTTTTTGTAGAGATTGATAAGCTGATTCTAAATTTCATATGGAAATAAAAGGGACCCAGAAGCAGCCAAATTATGAAGATCAAAATTGGAAGACATTCATGTCCTGATTTGAAACTTACTACAAAGCTACAGTAATCAAGATGGTGTGGTACTGGCATGAGGATGGACATACGGATCAATGGAATAAAATTGAGAGTCCAGAAGTAAAGCCAAACATCCACAGCAAAATGATTTTTTTTTAAAGATTTTATTTATTTGGAGAGAAATAGAGAGAGAGAGCACAAGTGAGGGGAAAGGGCAGAGGAAGAGGGAGAATCAGGCTCTCGGTTGAGCAGGAAGCCCAATGGATGTAGGGCTCGATCCCAGGACCCTAGGACATGACCTGGGCTGAAGGCAGATGCTCAACTGACTGAGGTACCCAGGTCCCTCTTGCAAACTGATTTTTTCTTTTCTTTTCTTTTTAAAAGATTTTATTTATTTATTTGACAGAGATCACAAGTAGGCAGAGAGGCAGGCAAGAGAGAGAGAGAGAGGAAGGGAAGCAGGCTCCCTACATAGCAGAGAGGCCGATGCGGGGCTCATCCCAGGACCCTGGGATCATGACCTGAGCCAAAGGTAGAGGCTTTAATCCACCGAGTCACCCAGGAGCCCCGCAAACTGATTTTCAACAAGAGTGCCAAGATCATTCAGTGGAGGGAAAAAATAGTCTTTTCAATAAATGGTGCTGGAACAACCAGCAAAAGAATGAAGTTGGATTACTCACTTCACATCATACACAAAAACTAACTCAAAATGGATTAAAGACCTAAATGTAAGATGTAAAATTATAAAAATCTTAGAAGAAAATATAGGTATAAATCTTTGTGACTTTGAATTGGGCAGAGGTTTCTTAGATGGGATGCCTAATACATAAGCAACCAAAGCAAAAATATATATAAACTGGATTTCATAAAAAATTGAAAACTTCTGTGCTTCAAAGGACACCAACTAGAAAGTCTAAATATAATGCAAAGACTGGGAGAAAATATTTGCAAATCATGATTCTAGTATCCAGAATACATTAAAAACTCCTACAACTTAACAAATAATAAAAATATAGATAACCCAATTTTTAAAGTGGGCAAATGATTTTTTTTTTAAGATTTTATTTACTTATTTGACAGAGAGATCACAAGCAGGCAGGGGGAGCAGCAAGCAGAGGGAGAGGGAGAAGCCGGCCTCTCACTGAGCAAGAAATCTGATGCGGGGCTCAGTCCCAGGAATCCCAGATCCTGACCTGAGCAGAAGGCAGATGCTTAACCCACTGACCTACCCAGGCACGCCTGGGCAAAGGCTTTGAATAGACATTTCTCCACCACAAATATCCAAATGGTCAATAAGCACATGAAAAGATAGTCGTCATCATCATTAGTCATTAGGAAAACGCAAATCAAAACCACAATATTATTTCACAGCCACTAGGATAAATTGAAAAACAAACAAACAAACAAACGAACAATAACAGGTGCTGGTGAGCACGTGGAGAAACTGGAACTCTCATATGCTCTAGTGAAAATGCAAAATTGTGCAGTTGCTGTGGAAAACAGAAGGGCAGCTCCTCAGATGGTTAAACACAGAGTTACCACTATGTGGCTCGCAATTTATTCCTAGGTATGTCTGCAAGAAGACTGAAAATATGCTTGCACAACTTGTATACAAACGTTCATAGCAGCATAATTGCCAAAAAGTGGAAACGACCCAAATGTGCATCAGATGATGACTTGGATAGATGACCTGTGTATATCCATACAGAGGAATAGTATTCGGCTCTAAAAATGAATGAAGTACTGAGAATTACTACCGTGGGGATGAAACTTGAAGACATTGTAAGTGAAAGGAGCCATGCACGAAAGACCATGTGTTGTATGATCCCAATGATATAAAATGTTCAGAATAGGCAAATCCATGCAGACAGAATGTAGGTTTTAGTAGTTGCCTGCGGCTGTGAAGAAGGGGTGATTGAGAGTGATAATGGACACAGGGTTTCTTTTTGGGATGACGGAAATATCCTAGAATTGGATAGCAGTGGTGGTTGCACAACCCAGAGATTATATTGACAACTACCAACCTGTACACTTATTTTATTTATTTAACAGAGAAATCACAAGTAGGCAGAGAGGAAGGCGGGGGGAGGGGGGCCGTGGGAAGCAGGCTCCCCGCTGAGCAGAGAGCCCCATGTGGGGCTGGATCCCAGGACCCTGAGATGATGATGTGAGCTGAAGGCAGAGGCTTAACCCACTGAGACACCCAGGGGCCCCCTAAGCTGTACACTTTAAAATGAGTAAATTTTGTTAGTGAATTATAGCTGAATAAAAAAAATGAAAGATTGTGTGAAGGGTTAGATAGTGCATATAAAGCACTGACAGCGCCTGCACGCTATACAGGTGATTAATAACTATTAGTTCTCTTGCCCTTTTGTCCTTCCAGGATCTCCAACTTTTTACACCATCCATCTACCCACTCAGTACCAGCTCCTGGGCCCCACGTGCCCACTGACACCTTTGGGTATGGGGTGGGGGTACAACAGTGAGGGAAGAAGTCTCATTGGAACTTGCCATCTGATAGAGGACGCAACATGCAATATGGAATTACAATCTGAGAAGCATTATGGAAAAAAAGAAGCCTTCTTGAGATTGAATAAATGACATCTGATCTAGTTTGGAGAGGGAGTAGTGTGTAGGGACTTATCCTGAAAAGGAGGCGTGGTTGTAAACAAATAATGTTCTCTTTTTCCTTGCAGAGGAAGTCTGAAGCAGCTGAAGTTTGGTGAGTAACCACATTGTTGGGTGGTCTCTATGCCTTTGGAAGGGCTGTGGCCTCCCTGTTTCCTTATTGACTCAGCAGGGTGCATGGCTGGTGGGGGCTGCGGTGGGGCCTGGGAGAGGAGGAAGGACTCTGGCAGGAGTTAGCAGGCATCTGAGACCCTCTAGTTCTCCTTCTGTCTTGAGAAGTAGACAAAGAACAGGAAGAAATATTTAAAATAGGAGGTGGTGGGGCGCCTGGGTGGCTCAGTGGGTTAAAGCCTCTGCCTTCGGCTCAGGTCATGATCTCAGGGTCCTGGGATCGAGCCCCACATTGGGCTTTCTGCTCAACAGGGAGCCTGCTTCCCTTCCTCTCTCTCTCCCTGCCTCTCTGACTACTTGTGATCTCTGTCAAATAAATAAATAAAAATCTTAAAAAAAAATAAAATAGGAGGTGGTTTCATAAACTCATCTTTTTCTGGAGCCTGGCAAACAAGGATAGACTGTTTACAAATTTGCATTCTAATTTGGGCCTTTATTTTCAGAAAGATTTTAAGTGATTTGTAAGAAACAAACAGAAAACTTAATAAAATAAAAAAGAGTCACAGAGAGGAAAACAAATATTCCAGAAAGCTAGGCTAACAGAAATACTGTATTGAGTATTAAATTTAGCTTTATGCTTCCTAATAGCCAAGGCAAAAAGAAAAATATGATGTAACCTGTTTTAATGTCGGTTGAAAAGGGAGCACACATATCAATTTCCTTGTTGTCTTTAAGTTTCCAAAATGTGATTTGACGAGAATATTAAGGAACACATTAATAAAAAGGGCCCATCATAGTATCACCTTCCAAATGCTGCCATTTATTGAGGACCTCGAGCAGGCCAGGCACTTTGTGTGGGGAGGAGGGATTATCTCCATTTCAACTATTTTAATTTTTGCAAAGTACCTTCCAATCCTTGACCACTTAGATGTACTTTTCTGAATAATTATAAGCTAGCACTGCCCCCTCCATACTTACTAGATGATTCTCAAACTCAAATATGCATACAACCCACCTGGAGATCTTGTTAAAATGTAGATTCTGATTCAGTTCGAGTGGGGCCATAAACCCTGTGTTTCTAACCTGCTTCTCATAATGGTTGCACTTTTGAGTAGCAAACTGCTAGAGCGCATGTGAACATACATGGGGAAGTTTTTTTGTTTTGACTGTTTTTTTTAAAAATGTCAAATTTTATATTCTTGCATTTTTTTTTTTTTGAATATCACAGGTCAACTGTCTCCCTGACAATGGAAAATTAAGGAATCGAATTCTTCAGAGACAAAAACTTGTTCCTTCCAATTTTCCCTGTTCCTGGGTACTATAGACCTGATGTTCTGAAGCCTTTTGTTATAGGATTAGAACATGGCGTGTATACAGAAAATTTTCAGGGGCAAGCAGCCCCGCAGTGACCAACATCGGAGATATTTGGAGAGAAATGGGTGGTACTCTTCTGATGGGGCCCCAGTTCTCTTCGTATCCCTTTTACACCAGCGATCACTTTACCCCCTCGAGGCCTCTCCTCTGTAAAATGAGAGGGCTGAATGAGTCCCCGTCTCGGGGCCTCCCAGGTCTGAGTTTCCCACAGCCAGCCTGCCTGAGGATACATTTGTTTGAAGGCACACTAGAAACAGCCACCCAGCTCTAAAAGGGTAGGGGGGAAGAGGTGCTTGTAAGTGTGCTAGATCATTTCAGGTGGAGGTTTTAGGGGTCCTCTGTTTCTTTCTCACATTTTTTTTTTTAAATTGGTGATTGGGGTGGGTCTGGAAGGGAGGGGCCACCAGAACCTGAATCCATCAGAAAGCCCTATGAAGATTGGGTGAACACAAGATCTAAAAACTTAGGAGACTGACTTTCTCTCCTTTGGACCCCTATGTGACCCAATCAGAACTGGGCACTGGCTTGAGAAATTTGTTATAGTAGATTATATTTCTTGCAAAAAAAAAAAAACCAAAAAAAAAAAAAACCCCCCCAAAAAACCAAACTCGGTACTTTGAATTTGGCACTCTAAATGGTGCATCTTTTGCCAGCCTCCAGAGGGGAACTCAATTTAGGTAAAGCCTCCTTGTGGCAAACACCAGGACAAACAGGTTCTTTGGGCTATTCCCTGCCTGGGGATGGTGCATGGAAACTGGGTTTTGTTGGTCATCCACAGTGGATAAACCTGATAAACAGGTGTTTTTTCCTGGTCTTGTGCAGCACTCAGTAAAGAGAAAAAGTGGGCGCTGGTAAGAGAGGGGAGGAGGTAAACACTGAACAAAAACTTTTTTGGATCTTGTTACTTGATCAAGGTGCAGACACTGACACAGCAGGTTTCTCATTCCTGGGCTGTAAGGGACGCTTCTTTTTTTCCCTTTAAACTCAACTCTACCCCCAGCATGGGGCTTGAACTCACAACCTAGGCAAGAGTTGGAAGCTTTATGGCCGAGTTAGTCAGGTGCCCCCGCAGGGCACAAAATTTTAATCAAAGCCTTGACAACCTGTCCAGTGAGTGTGGTTTCTTGCACAGTTCAGATGGATTAGGAATGAGTACTACAGACTGTCCTGTTGTTGGTAATGGAAACTATTGGGATGGGACTTAATAATCACATTTGTATTTCCTTGTGTTGATGGAATTATTTCAATCAGGCACGCACTTTATGCAAACCCGATGAATGACAAAATCCAATAAATTCTGTAGCTTAGTGCCTTTTCTAGTTATATTTACTTCTCATAATTTTACTTTTTGTAAGTAGTAACTTTTCTAAAAGTCTACCCTCTAAAGATTTCTTGCTAAAATAGTAACTATGGTGGTCCACTGAAGCTTCTGGGGGACTTAGGGTGCATCTGCCAACAGCCTGCACCTTGCTCTTGTCAGGAACAGCTGGCTTCACCAAGGTGCTCCGAGTCCGTTTACGAATGACCTGGTGCTGGGGAAGGATCTGCAACTCTGTTTATGAGTCAGATGACCCAGATGACCTTTTGCTTTATCTTCAAAAAAACTCATTATTCAATCTCTCCAATCACAAGATTAATTTTGGTTGCTATCTAGTAACTGTTTATCAGCTCAAGTAGCTTTACTTTTACATAAATTCCTAAAGGCAGGAATCTCCTCTTTGGAAGTATGTAGAAGTTCAATAAAATCAGCACTCCTCTAACCAAGTCACCTTATTGCTTTCTTGCTTCTGGCTTGCCTCTGGCTTGGGCTGGGCTGTTGGGATGGTTGTGATGCCCAAGCTTTACCAACCATGAGTAGGCCTGAGCAGATGTGGTCAAGAGAGGATTAGTCATTTACATCTGAGAAGTGAACGGGAAGGATATTTTAAATGCTTTCATTGTTTCACGTCCCTGCATTAGTTACCTGTTGTTGTACCCGTAACACATTGCCACAGACCTCGTGGCTTACACGTTTTTTTTTTTTTTTTTTTGTGGGTTAGGGATCTGGCAAAGAGTTGGTACGGTGTCTGCCTCCAGGTTTCTCACAGAGCTGCAGTTAAGATGTCAGATTCTTCCAGGCTCAGTGGTTGTTTGCAGGATGCAGGTTCTTACAGGTGGTTGGGCTGCGGGTGTCCCCATAAGGCAACTCACATGGCAGCTTGTTTGCCCAGAAGAGTTCCAAGACAGAGAAGGGGCGCAGAAGACAGCAGCCGCAGCCCTTTGTAACCCAACCTCAGAAGTTGTACTTGCTACTTTTGACTTAACCTGTTAGAACAGTCATCAAGTCCAACCCACATTCAAGGTGAGGGGATTATAGGGGCGCCTGGATAGCTCAGATGGTTGGGTACCTGCCTTCGGCTCAGGTCATGATCCCAGGGTCCTGGGCTCCTTGCTCAGCGGGGAGTCTGCTTCTCCCTCTCCCTCTGCCACTCCTCCTGATTGTGCTCGATCTCCAACAAAAAAAACAATCTTAAAAAAAAAAAAAAAGATGAGGGGATTATACAAGTGTGTTAGTACCAGGTGGGAATCACTGGGGTCCTTTTTCCTAAAGATCAAGTAAGTGCTCTAACCCTCAAAACTCATCCCACTTTTGTTAGCTTACCTCAAGAGGATTTGTAGTAGGGTCCACTAATTTCCCACACTGATGGTCCTTTCCTCTACATTTACAAAATCCAAAGCAACCAGTGCAGTCTTAAGGGCACAACTTCTAGGAACACACCTCAGGTGCGGGCAGCCAGTGGACTTCTAGAATAGTCCAGTTCTGACAGCTGGAGGACAAGCCTTGTTACTGGGTTAAAGTGGGCAGAAGCTAGACTGGAATTAAGGACAAAAGATTATGATAAAAAAGCCTCCTCCCTCAGAAGGAATGGTACAGCCAGCAACGCAACTACATACTAATGTAAACTTGCTTAATGAAACCTCCAAACACTTAAAATGATCTCAAAATTTCTGGCTTTTTACCTGGGATATCTGGCATCACAAGGACTTTGTGTGGACTAATATTTGTGCAGAGATTTAAAGGCAAATGTGTATCACACATGTAGTTCCTAAATTCCAACTTTTAAAAACAAGACTTTAGGGGCACCTGGCTGGCTCAGCCAGTTATGTGTCTGCTTTCTGCTCAGGTCTTGATCCCAGGGTCCTAGGATCGAGTCCTGCATCGGGCTCTCTGCTTGGTGGGGAGCCTGCTTCCCCCTCTGCCTGCTTCTGCTTGCTCTCTGACAAATAAATAAAACAAAAAAATCAAACCCCAAGACTTTAGCGACATGAAAACAAACTTCCTCCTCAGGTCTCAAAGCTCTCAGATTATATATAAAAGTTTATATATTTAATCTTCACATACCGAAGACTGTGCAAGAGATCTGGTAGTTATCAATGACTTGCTAACTTCTAAGGCCCCAGATTGGTGGGCAAAACACAAAGGACTATTCAAGCTCTCTGGTGTCATTAGGCCTTATTTTGGGGGATAAATATAATTCTTTATAAAATTATTTATTTATTTAACAGAGAGCGAGCGAGTGCACAAACAGGGGGAGAGGGAGAAGCAGGCTTCCTGACTACATGGGGCTCAATCCCAGGACCCTGGGATTATGACCTGAACTGAGGGCAGACGTTTCTAGAACATACTTCAGGTGCGGGCAGCCAGTGAGCCACCCAGGTGCTCCTGGAGTAAATATAATATTGACTCTGTTATCAATAAATCACAAGTTTTCTGTGATATTGTAATCTAACAGTAAATCTCTTTCCTCATAAGAGCAAAACTCTAGTCTTCAAAAATAAAAGAATGTAACCTGGGCCTCTCGAGCTGGCAAATGGTTCCCCTGTGGACACTCAGGGTAAATGAAGACTGAAAAGCAGGGGCATTGGGGGGATGTGGAGGATTAATTCAAACCCCAGTTTGCTGGCTCTTTTAAGATAGCTACAAGTTCTCCTAGGACAGCACTTAAGTTTTCCAAAACCCTCCGAGGTCCATACATTTAAGACAAGGCTTAGAGACTGCCTAGACTGGTCAGTCTGGTGAACACACTGGTTTGATGAATTCCAGTTCAATTTTTGAGGTTAAAAAAAAATACCTGGGACGCCTGGGTGGCTCAGTGGGTTAAAGCCTCTGCCTTCGGCTCAGCTCATGATCTCAGGGTCCTGGGATCGAGCCCCCCATCAGGCTCTCTGCTCAGCAGGGAGCCTGTTTCCCTTCCTCTCTCTCTGCCTCTGTGATCTCTGTCAAATAAATAAATTTTTTAAAAAATCTAAAAAAAAAAATCTTATTTATTTGGCAGAGAGAGAGGGAGAGAGCACAAGTGGGGGAGCAGCAGGCAGAGGGAGAGGGAGAAGTAGGCTCCCAGCTGAGCAGTTAGCCTGATTCGGGGCTTGATCCCAGGACCCTTGGATCATGACCTGAGCTGAAGGCAGACACATGCTTAACCGACTGAGCCACCCAGCGCCCCTAGGTTGTTTTTAAAATGTGTTATATTCTCTTCTGGTCAACACTACAATATGAACACACTACATAGGTCTTACGTATGATGCAATTAAATTAACTCTAAGAGTTAATGTATGTAGCCCAGGGGTGGGGAAGGACTTTCTATGAGTAACACTAAAAAACATCACAAATAAAAGTGAAAGGCAAATTAAAAACTGTTGAAGTATATATGATGGGAAAACGACAAAAATGCATTATCTTTAATACAGAACAAACCCATACCAAATAAAAAGGGAAGCACACAAAAACAAAGCTGGGCAACATAGCAAATAACCAAAAAACACAAATGGCCAATAAAACCCATGAAACAAGTTTCTGACTTGTCATCCAATATTCAAATTAAAGCAAGGCAAAGATGCTCTTGTTTTTTGGCAAACTGGCTATTGGGAAAAAAATGAACGTGACTGTAACAAGCCCATTCAAATGCTGCCGGTCACAGCAAAACAGTCCAACCATTCTCCATATCAGTTACCTGACATTTATTACAAGCCATGAAAATGTGCTTACTCTTTAGCCCAGCCATGCCATTTTGGAGAATTTATTCTAAGGAATGAATCTATGAAAGCCCATGTACAAGAGGGTTTCACGAATCTTTGGCAACTTTTGCATCTACTGGGATTGTGATCATAATCTGAGGGGGGAGTGGTAAAGTACACACCACCAATATTCTGGGAAAATGCTACTGGATATAGGAAATGATACCCTTCCTAAGATTTTTCCAAAATGTACGTTGTTAGTCTCATCTACCCCCAATTTAAAAGACAGAAGCAAAGCTACAAATGGCACAAAGTGGTGGCAGGTGTTTAAGCCAGGCGGTTTCCCTGCATATTTAAGTTCAAAAACGACATTCAACCAATCCTTCTCTCCATTCTGAAGTGTGGGTCAGACCAACTTGGGCAGCAAAGTAAAATAAATGCTCTGGAAACATATAGATTATTAAATAATTTGTTTATTGTACTGCATTTATAAAGAAAACAGACAATGCACCCAGTAGAAAGAATAAAAATGCATTTGGGGTTGTAACTGACAGCAATAGAAATCCTTTACTGAGATCGTGGCAATTTGACAGCATTATGATTAAGTTCAATAAAGGTACACGGGGTATGTGGAAGATCAAATTCTACAGCTGCCTCTTTCTACGGCTTCTAATTCATCTGGCTCCTTAAATGATAGGGGGAAAGCCCTTATTTGGTGGGAAAACATTTTCAGAAAGAAGTTATAGGTTCTCTCTTATTAAAATTTCTTTTCACATCAGTTGTTAAAATGGGGCCTTCTATTTTTGTTTTGGTTATTTCACTTTAATATTGTCACCAGAATTCCTGTAATTGCACAACTGTTATTTTACAGTGTAGACAAGAATTCGGTTCTAGTCTGCTATTGCTGTAGATATATGTATCGCTGAAAAGCCAAAGTGGATTAGAACTGCCGAAGGATTTTCCCTGCCGTTGTTGGATACAATCTATTTTCTTTATTCTTGATAGGTGCATAGACAGCCTCACTTAGAATTCTTTCTACAGGAACATGTCTGATTTCAGGACTACCCAATCAAGGATCCGATGAATGGCTGGCCATAGTTACTCAGGGTTCTGTGTTTATGCGTTAAATGGATTGCATAATTGTACCACTTTTTCCTGTTGTTGGTGGAAAAATGGCAGAATCCAGACTCCAATCTCCAATACAGAGTTGGCTACCTGAAAGTCTTGTCGGCAGCTCTGCTAGTAGAGCCTCAAGTCGCACTTCCTTGGCTTTCTGTAAATCAGTCCTGGAGCCGCCTCTGCAGAATGCTGTAATCCCCAAGGCCCACTTGGTCCATGCTGAACAAGCGGCTGTGACCCCAAACCTGCCCCCTTTTGCTTTTCAATATGACCCAAGGAATATGTGATGTCTAGGGCAAGTCTAGGAAAGGCCCATTCTAAAGTAAGATTCACAAAGCCTTTTCTCATGGGGAAAAAAAAAAAGCCTCAAGTACATCTCAATTATCTCAGAATTGCAGTTAAAAACTTACATTATACAAAGAAATAGCAGCAGAGAATGGCTAATCTTAAAACAACCAAAAAAAAAAAAAATCCCCCAAAACAAAAAAACAAAAAAACCTGAAAGTGCCATCCCTTCCCCTTGGCCTTGGCTCTTTTATGCTGGGATTTCATTTAAGACCTGAAGCCTCTGAGAAAATGAGAGTGGCAAAGCCACAGAGGAAAACTGCTTAAAGGTTAAATTTTGGACAAGATAAAGAAAAAGCTGTAAATAAAGTAGAGGACTGACTGGAAAAGAACTGGGAATTCTAGTACATTTTCTTCCTAGAGGGGAAATCTCTGAAACCCAGGTCCCCTTTCTGGAGTCATCCTGAATTCTTTTGCTTTGGGGCAGTAAACTCAAGTGCAATGAGTAAAGTGCCAGCCAGGGATTAAAACAACAAAAACCAAAGCAGCCAATCAAAACTCTGTGGTTAGGGTAGCAGAAGACACAGAGGAAAGGACTGTTTCTGCAGAACATCTAATTCTGAAGAAATAGCTAGTCAATGGTTCCGTGTCTGTTTCCAACAAAAATCAGACCAAAGATTTAAGGATCTTAGAGTTATGGGAGGATAAAAGGAATTTGATAGTGCTCTGAACAGTGATAAAAGTGGTATCCAAATTTGGTGTTGATACAGCTCATTTAAAATGATAGTAGCTTCAAAGTTGCCGGACAAAACGTGAACACAGAGAACAGAAACAATCCAGGAAGATGATGCAGCCTGGATACAGTAAGTTTAATGTCTCTGCTGTACACAGAAATAACACCCTTTCCCCTTCTCATCCTTATGCTGGCAATAGGAGATGCACTAGAAAATTTGACTCTTAGAGTCAATGAATAAAAGGATGAGCTCATCATCTTCATAGCTCTTTTTAAAAAGGATGCTCATAATTTAAAGGGTGTTTTAATGGAAAGACAAGGGTACAGGGTGAGAGGCTGTTTCACATTTTAGTCTGTGAGTCTTTGGCAGAGCTCAATTGAGGCCAAATTCACCTAGGATGCCCGATGGCTGTGGGGGATCTCCACAGGGTCAAGTAAGCAAACCCAAATGAACATGTTGGATTAAAAAAAAAAAAAAAAAAAAAGGCAACAAAAAACCAAAAAACCTAGGAAACCCTTGAAGGAAGAGCTTCACCCTGAAAAGGGAAGTGGGAAATTCTTGGCAGGGAGGGGCGAGGGTCAGCATGTGATCTCTGCTGCGGTGCTGGGCTGGGGCTCAGGAGTTGAGCCAAGGGTGCCGGAGACAATCAGCGGCAGTGGCTCTCTTCTCAGGTATCAGCTCCAACATGGGCAGTAAGAAATCCGTGAAGCCAGCTGCCTCTTCCTGAGACCACTCATACTTCTCCACTAGAACCTCAAATAGGCCCCAGGGTTTCAGTTTCGTGATGTGTTTCAGGTCACCTATGGTAAAGACAGTACAAAAGAAACTGACCGATATTGACAAGTGACAAGATCCTTTTGTGGAAATCCAGGAACTAATCCGGGCGCTCTATAAAGAACCAAATTTTGCCATCAGAATCTAATCCTTTTCTATTCACAAAGCTCTTCTTTAACACATTCCTTGGAGTGTCTCCACTTTCCGTGAGGGCCTAAAATCTTAATTTGCTTGCTCCACTATTCTAGGATATTTTGTCCCAGTAAAATTGGGTAGGCCTAGCAGGAACTAGGTATTCACTAAAATGAGTTATTAAATGCCTATATATGCAACACAGTCTCAAAGGGTGTTTAAAAACAGTTTATCATCACATACCAAGAACAACTGTATTTTTGGGGGGCTTAACAGTCTACTAATGTTGCTTCCAAATAAGGCAGTAATTTAAAAATAAAGAGCTAATACCATGTTAGACCTGTATAAAAAGTAACAAGACTAAAACAACAAACCCCATACAGCTTTCAGATATAGCTACATCAACACTTTGTCCTATTCTCAAATGTCATTCTAATTCTTGCTTCTTTGACATAACCATTTTAACTTACACACACTTATCTGAAGTCTCTTTCTGTGGGCAGTGAGTGCCTGATTCAGTACCCACTTGATATACACATGCCATCAACTGGTCTGTGCACAAGGAGGAACTCTTAGGAAGCACTTCACTATTTTCCTGCCAAAAAGAAACATTAATGTTTCTGAGGATGCTTGCTGTCAAGTGTAGAGGTTGTGAGGAAAAAAGGCACCATGGCAAACAGGGAAAAAAGGCAAGAGTTTTCTAGTGCTTCTTAGGTCAGGTTTTCAAATTTCAGCTTTTAAATTTTATTTGGATGCATAAGAAATACATACTTAACTACATACTTAATACTTAAATACATACTTAACTGAGTCAAAAATTTCAGGTGAGAGCATGATCTTTGTTTCTTTCACTAATTGGTGATAACATATACTTATAAAACTGGAAAAGGTAAAGTTAATTTGCAGGACTGATATACTTAAGTGATTATATTAGGTGTCTCTGGGCTACAAGATGAGTAAGATGTAGTCCTGCCCTTAGGGAGCTTAAACTAAACTATTTGCTCTGTTAGAGACAGTTCTGAGATCAAATGCTAGCAAACGTCTGCCCATTTTTCAGAAGCATTGAATAGGAGTAATCAACCAATTATGTGCCAGGCACTATATACACAGTAACTTATTTAGTGTGAAGTAAACACTTAAAATCCCCACTTAGAAATCAGCAGACTGAGGTTGTGTGGCCGCTGGGATTTGAACTCAGATAGTGTGGCCCCAGTCTCTGCTCCTGACCACAGTATTTCACCTCTCTGCTGTTACAGTTCAGCATCCAAGGCAGGACCATCCTTCCAAAGGTGTTGGGAGTATGTACACGGCTGCACTTACCTCTTCATTTTTAAACACTTTGCTCCCATGATGTCTGGGAACAAGCACATTTATTTTACCTTTTTTGGTGAAAAATTCCTTGGAATATTTTCCTGCCACAATGAGCTTGCGAGGCACCTTCCCCAGAAGTTCTATGATCAATGCAATGTGATCTGTATGTTTCAAACATTTCAGGAGGGGGAAAAAAAAGACATACATAACAGGAGTAACAAATGCAGTTCTAGACAATGGCAGAAAGAGTAGCATGCACACCTCTTTGTAAAGCATTTCAGCCTTGCTTTCTGTCCTAAATAGGAAGAGGACTCTATCCATCTAATGGAGAATCCAGAAAACTGTAAAAAAAATCAGGTGCCCACTTCAGTGGGACTAAAGTTATAACTAAAAACAATCTTGGTGTGAATGCTCTGCTTCCTGAAGTTGTATCCCTGGGGCCTAGATGAAAACTCATGTTAATAATACTACCTCTGCGGTTGAAGAAGTCCTGTGAATATTTCCCACTGAGGGCAAAGCGTCTTGGAATTCTGCCTATCAGCTCTATAATGTGCGCAATGTGGTCTAAAATAGAAGGGTAAGAAGAACAGGATCAAGGACAAGCTGTAAAAGAGGTTTTGTTTTGTTTTTTTTTAAATGAATAGCTTTTTCAGTCCTAGCTGTTTAAAAGTAACTACAAATATAACCAAGGATACTCCAGGGGAGACTGGGAAGGTCAAGAATTATTTCAGGTGGTTGGTCACCTGAGAGCAGCTGGCAAGGCCCACCCTAGAGTTTAGAGGCTTATCTGTATCTTTATTTCTATTTTGTCTATACATCTAGATTCAGGTGGATTTTTCAGTTAAGGTTATAAAAACTACCAATATGCTTTAGACACTGTTATTTATGATACTACTCTGGGCTTCAAGTAGTAATAGTATCACTTTATTTAACAAAGTTCACAATAATTAAAGCACTCATATATGATGAGTTTTTACAGTCACCCTGTAAAACAGGTCAAAACTAAGAGATGCCCCATTTTTAACAATGAGAAAACAGAACCTCAGAATAAATGGCCTACTTGAAGGTACAGGGCAAACAGGAGCTAGAACTCAAAATGAACCCACATCTTACCATGTGTAGTTCAGAGCCGGGTAATTGTTTTAAAATACATCACACTTTAAAAGTAGAAATTGGCACAAACATTTTAAAGTATAGCTACTTGACTTCCGTGGGCCAGTAAAAGATGCCCATGTCGTAGCAGTGTCTTGTAACTATCCCAGCATGAATGTGGACCGTGAGCACTGCCAGGGAAGTGTGCCCCAGGTGGTGATCCTGGGACCAGCCAGCATCCACATTTACAGGAAACTCTACTACTTTTTTACTCTGCAGGTGAAAGCAACTAAGAATAGGAAGGAATTTTAAAAAGTGATGGCACAAAAGAGCTTTATAAATGACTTTAATCCTGTAGGGCAGTAATGATATGCCAGAGACATCACTATATGTGGGAATTTGTGATGGTGTCAGGTCCTATCTGTTTCTCAAGGACTCAGTGCCGTCATTTTAAAACAGCTTTACATTCACGAAATCACTACAAACTTCTGGCAGTCTTGACTGAATTTGTCGTTTGCTAACAAGACTTGGCCACCAAGAAATTTCTGCTCATTTTATGTAAAACCTGCAAATAAATATTTTTGTATAAATGAGACTACAGTTTATCTTAATGTAAACTTCCAAGTGAAGTACTGGTTCTTTTAACATTTTTCCTGTACCAAGAAATTATTTTTCTCTTGAGTGTGTTATTTTACATTTAATTCCAGCAGCCTGTCTCTGGCTTATCAATTAATCACAGGAATGATATACCTGATAGGCAAAATTATCAAGTATTATTCCAAGAGTTAGGGCTGTAGAACACCAACATCAGAAAACATGCCTCTTAGGTAGGCCCCAGTCCTACAGTGACTTATAACAAACCATGCATACACTTGCTAGGGAATTAGGGTTTAGCTTTTTTTCTTCTCTTATGGACCAAACTGCAGTAGTCTGAAGTTTCCTCTAAGGACTATTAGTACTAACCGGTACAGGAGGAAATAAATTTGAATTTAAATATCTAGAATAGACAGTTCTCCCTTGCCCCTTATTTGGGACTTTTTAGATACGCTTCAATTTTCAGGTTTGGTAACATAAGACCCTACAGAGTGTAATTTCAGCTGTTATATGTGTTCTGTACCACAACTATTTACAGGGAGTCTAGGAAAGTAAGGAGAAAAAAATCAATTGTTCAAACAGGTATAACTGAGCATTTCTAAAAAACGTCCAAAGCCCCAAACTTATAATTGGCAAAAAAAAAAAAAAAAAAAAAAAAAAAGAAAGCAGAGATTAGGGAAAATTAAATGTGTACATAGATAATTATTATAGTATATTCTTAAAAGGGCTTATATATAGAAAAACATCCAAACTGTACTTACTACAATAGGCATTTGGCAATCGGAATTATCGTAACATTTCCAGATTATGTGTTAGAGGAGTATCAAGAGGCCCTACTAACATTGCCTACTACTATCCCAAGGGACCATGGTTTAAGAAATGGAGAGCATTCTTGGTTCCACACAGCACAAAACCTGATTTCCCTAAGAACTGAGGGAAGGATAGAAAGTAAAGGACATATTTTCCACATTGGGAGGCTACATTGCTAGTGTTCTCTCAAAGTAATCCCCATTAATCTTGAAAATAAAACCTGCTGAAACTGTATAATAAAGAAGGTAAGACATTTCTTTAATAGTTCTTTCACTCACGTTATTATCTAAGTTATTTGGACATGACCATGATAAAAAAAAAAAAAAATCACATATTCAGTTGTGTGCTTTCACAGCCTCTCAGATGGAGCAACTGACAGCTTGGGCCTTTCCCATCAGCTATCACAAAATGTAAATCAATAACACTGTTTTTTTTTTTTTTAAGATTTTATTTATTTATTTGACAGACAGAGATTACAAGTAGGCAGAGAGGCAGAAGAGAGAGAAGAGGAAGCAGGCTCCCCACCGAGCAGAGAGCCAGATGCGGGGCTCGATACCAGGGATCATGACCTGAGCCGAAGGCAGAGGCTTTAACCCACTGAGCCACCCAGGCGCCCCTGTTTTATTTTTTTAAAGATTTTTAAATTTATTGGGAGACAGACCAGAGGGAGTGAGAGAACACAGAGAAGAGGAGGGGCAGAGGAAGAAGCAGACTCCTTGCTGAGCAGGGAGACCAATGTGGGGCTCAATCCCAGGACCCTGAGATCATGACCTGAGCCTAGGCAGACGTTTAATTGACTAAACCACCCAGGCGACCCAATAACACTGTTTTAGAATGGAATTCTAAATGTCAGTATCATTTACAAAGAAAAAAGTATGGTTTTAATTTTTAGAAAAGGGAAAAAGAATGCTAAATATTATAGAGTTTATATAGACAAACAAGCTCTAGTGTCTGCATTCACAACCACCACTCAAGTAGTGTGTTTGCATATAAAATTACTGACTTCCAAATAAAGTTGCAGGCAACAAGCTGATGAACAGGTTGTTCACAGTGGGTAAAGAATGAATCACTGATTTATACAGAAAGGAAGATAACCAGATGTTTTAGAAGAAATTATCTGGCAAATACAAGTTTTAGTTTATTAACCAACTGTGGTCTCTTCTTTAATCCTCATATAGTTCTTTAATAGCTATTATAAAATATCTAGTGTATCTAATACTTAATATAAAAATCTTATATTTCTATCTTTTCTGGGATTTATATATTCTTAGCACACTAAAAAGACTAAGCTCTTCAGTACTAAGAAACCATGTTAATCACACATGGAAAGTGTAACTGCCATGCACAGAGACTCTTGGTTAAGGAGACTCACCTTCATCGCGAGTGTACTCTTCCCCTGAATGAGGCTCAAACAAATAGTCGCCTGTGGCCAGTTCAAAGGCCTGAGAAAAAGAGGACAGCATATGAAAGCATTAAAACAAAACAAAACAAACAAAAAGGTAGCCTTTGGGAAGCTTATTGCTTACTATCTGACTCAATATGAAGTAATTTTTTCTTTTTTAAAAAAGCCACAGATGATCATTTTTAAAAATGTCTGAGATTATATCTAAGGAGTTTTCCTTCCACACCAGTTTCTTAGTAAAATGGAGCAGGAAAACAGCAAGAACTATTAATATCAACATATGGATTCTTCCATCCCATGCTCCTATCAGCAATTCGGCTCTCCTGAATTTCTCTTTTTGCTTAGAGAGGGCAACATGTGGATATTAAGCTAATTCTAAGTTATTAAATTATTCATGAGAAGAACAGGTTTTATTTTCTTATGTTATAATTTCACATAGCTAGAAATTAAGATTCTGTACACAAAATCAAAACCAAAAAACTCAGACAGACATCTCTCTACCTATGACTCTTAATTATTTGGCAAAAAGTACATTTTTAAGTTTTGCTTTGGGAAGCACCCCCTAAACTGTTCCAGTAGAATCCTCAATTCCTAGGTCTAAAGGAAAATCAGAAAAAGATTAAGTGTAAATGTAGTCAAGAGCCATTCATGTTTTATGTTACTGGGAGGTATGGCATTCACATACCAGGAAAAGGCAGGCACAGGTCTTCTACATGAAAACCTCTTGTAACAGTGTTCAACAAGTATGAAAAAGTGATTTCCTTTAGAATACACACCAAGCATTACAGAAAGACAGCATCTGAGTGATAGGCTTATATTAATCTTTCACTGATTAAAAAATGGGTCAAAAAAGGTAATGCAACAGCAATTTTTATAAAGGACCATACTGGTATAAAAGTGCAGTTGTAAGTCAAGTGCCAGTCACAGGTCAATTTTGATTAAGTCAACGGTCAGACAATTTCAAAAACTGTGGTATGGTTTGCACTCTCTAATTCAGTCCTAGGATTAGGTCTCTGTGGCTTTTCAGAGTCCGCTTCTGCAATTTCACCACAGGACAGCTTTTCTCAAAACTGTATTACCTGAACTGTACTACCCTCCAAGGCATTAGCTGGTTTTATATTCTAGAAGTTCATCAAGAAACTGAAGCTGGTAACTTGTTCCATCCTTATCCTGAGGCTTATAGTTCCAAAGGAGAACAGAAACAAACTGTGATTCTCATTCATTAAAATTTGTTAATCTCTTCTGAAACCAGTACTTTTTCAAAGGCTCATAATGGGAGTGCAGTAAAAATACTGAAATTAAAATTCAAGGAAATAAAGACAAATTTCTAAGATTTCAATGTTTTCTAAATTTTTCACCCAGTCACTCACAACTAGTTACCTCAAGTTCTCTGAGAACTTTATTTTTTGGAACATATGGCAGTTGCTAGTAGTTATAATTTTGTAAATAAGATAACAGCAGAAAAACACAAACCAAACCAAACAATCACAATGTCAGAAGTGAAAACTAGCAGAAGCTCTAGTTAGAAACGAAACACTTTAGTTGAACACACTTCCCTTTGTAGATGAGAAAACTGTAACCAAAAGTGACAGGCAAGAAAGCCCATCCTAGAATCCAGGGTTCCTGATTCCCACTCCTGTGCTGGTCTTACACTGACCAAAGAGCCTATTCTGTGACACTCAGTGTCATGCTCACAACCAGAGGCAATGTAAGTTAGGAAATCCTGTGTTCTGGTATATATCTAGAAAATGTAGTATCATTTAGTGCTAAAAATGCAAAAGAGCTATCCAGTCATGAAAGGACATAGGCAAACCTTAAATATTATGAAGTGAAAGAAGCTAATCTGAAAAGCCTACATACTTTTATGATTTCAACTCTAGGACATTCTGAAAAAGGCAAAACTATAAAGACAATAGGAAGATCAGTGGTGGCCAGGTACAGGGGGTAGAGAGGGAGGGATGAGTAAACAGAGCATAGAGGATTTTTATGGCAGTGAAACTATTCTGTATGATACTACAGTGGTAGACAGAAGTCATTATACATTTTTCAAAATGTGTAATTTTGAATGGAGGATTTTACAGAATGAAGATTTTAAAGCATTAATTCTTTGTCAACTCCGAAGTGGTCTTCATGGAACTCTCCCTTTTTATAACTGCCCTCTAACTTGGTAGTCTCAATCACTAAGGTGGCAGGCAATCTTTTTATCTCTCAGAAAGGGCTCCAATCTTTCCATCAATTAATTGCATTGGATGCAGGATGATCCATCTTTCCAGACACTTCTGATATTACAGGACTTATTTTTACTTTCTGGTTATGGCTAAACGGAAAGCAACATTTCTACATCTTTTTGCAAAATAAGAGAAACTTAATGGCGAAGTGGGTTCAAGTTTCATGATACTATCTCATGTCAGGTAAGTGCTTTCCCTCCCTTGGTTGAGAAAATTCCTACATGTGAGCTGGTCCAAACAGGGGGCAAGGTTAATTCCCCTTTTATCTTTTGCCTTAGTATAAACATACCACATAGCAAGCAGGAACTACTGCCCCCAAACAATTAACCCACTACTAAGAACCACATCATAATAAACCAGATGTCATCTACAAACCAATTATATTTTGTAGTTGGTGGCATCTCTACCACTTATTTTCTCCAGCAAATCAAATTCCTGAAAATACAAAGCTTTAAAGTATGGCAAGAAAGAAGTTAGTTTTTGTTTTTTTAAAGATTTATTTATTTATTTATTTGACAGACAGAAATCACTAGCAGGCAGAGAGACAGAGAGAGAGAGAGAGAGGAGGAAGCAAGCTCCCCGCTGAGCAGAGAACCCGATGCGGGGCTCGATCCCAGGACCCTGGGAACATGACCTGAGCCGAAAGCAGAGGCTTTAACCCACTGAGCCACCCAGGTGCCCTAAGAAGTTAGATTTTATTCCAATGTTCTTTCAGCTTGTGCACACAGTACCAACCCTCACATTTCACAAAGTCCACCATCTTAATAGGCCATTGATATGCCATAACACAATGATTTACAAGGTCATGCCATATTAACAACACGGTTTTAACTCTATTACCTCTGGAAGACAAAGTTTTTTAGGAATGTGGGTCTCAAGAAATCTATGACCTAAAATAGGCTGGGGCTTCTAGTCTGTAGTTTCTCAAGTCTTCGCCAAAGTTGACTGTGAACAATGTCAACTGAAATGACAGTTTAATAGGCTTCTGGTTTAGTTTACTCATTTGATGGCCCACCAACATTTATTTATTAAGTATTGCTATATAATAAAGAATTTGTTTGGTCTTTGTTCCTGTTTCCTGAGAGGAAGCCTCTAAAAGCCTGGCATTTCCAAGTGATGATGCCTTTTGTCATTCACGTTGTCCACCTGTATCCTAATCATTATACCAATGAGGTGACTCATGGTGGGCTCCTAGATAATTATAAGAGGAGGGCTGGATATGCACCCTAACTGGACAAGACCCAACTGTGTGAGGACTGGGGCTTTGAGCCTGTGTTATCCTAACCTCCAGGGAAGGAAAGGGGGCTGGAGATTGAGTTCAATCACATGATCAACAATTCATTCAATCAATCATGCCTACGTGATGAAACCTCAATAAAAAACGGAGCATCTGAAGCCCATGTGAGCCTCCCTGGCTGGTGGTACACACTGATGTCCTGGGAAGGTGACAAGTCCTAATGACACAGAAGGTTCAGCTTTGCAACCCTCTTAGGCCTCGCCCTATGCATGTTTTCATTTGACTGGTTCTGATATGTAGCCTTTATGACAAAACTGCAATAGCAGTTTAGGACTTTCCCAAGTTCTGTGAGTCCTTTTAGTAATTTACTGAATCTGAAAGGATAATGGAACCTCCCAATATGTAGCCAGCAGGTTGGAACTGTAAGTGGCCTGTGGACTTCCGAGCTTGCAGCTGGTGTTTGAGGGGCCTTCTGGGAAACTCTGCCCTTAACCCATGAAGTCTGTTCTAACCTGGGGTAGTTAGCATCAGAATCGCACTGTAAGCATCTACTCAGAATGTGCCAGGCCCTGAACCAGACACTTAGCTATACATAACAAACATGGCTCTTGTCAGCATGGCACTTACAACCTAGTGCAAGAGAAATAAGTGAAGAAACACACAATTACAAATCAAACTGATGAGTATACTCTATTTCAGGAAACAGTATAACACATTCCAATAAAGGTTACTTGTGGGAAACCATTTAATGACAACTAAATCTGACTACCTGAGTACTTGTTTGACAGGGACAAAGCAGCAATTTAAGACTCTTTGGATGACTGGGCTTTCACATCTTTTGAGGTGCAAAGATATCTGAGGAACTGTCAAACTATACAGACTGAAGTAGTTTCCATAGTTTCCCTAATCTGAAAACAGATCAGAGCCGAAAGGGCAAGGGTACTGGTAATCTCCTAATCAAAAGCGGCACCACCTTGGAGCAGTTATTTTTAATCCCCTCGGCCGAAGCCCATGCTAAGAAACATTTGGTGCCTTCAACCAGCAGCAATTTGGCACAACAAAACAGAATGCCAGATGTTCTTTTTTTTGAGACAGAGAATTTCAAGCAGGCTCCACGCCCAGAATGGAGCCCAAAATGGGGGCTCAATCTCACCACCTTGAGATCATGACCTGAGCTGAAATCAAAGAGTCACACACTTAACCGACTGAACCAGCCAGATGACACAGAATGCCAGATGTTTTTAATCAGCTTTTGAATTTCAACCTCTCCAGACATAAGATTTAGAGTGCTAGTGGTAGGTACATCATAAAAAATTTGTTTTCCTGTTTGTAAATTTGCTGGTCTACTGAAATTAGCAAGCAGGGCAAGGTATAAAACTACCACATAATTAAGTGAAGGTCAAGGGTTTGGAAAAACATTACCATGCATGCTGTGCTCCAAATGTCAGCAGGGGTATTGTAGCCAGATCCTATCAGAACTTCCAAGGAGCGATACTGCCTTGTTTGAATATCTTCAGTGAAATGTTTGTGCTGAGTAAATGGAGAAGGACACAGTATTTTAAAATTCACTTATTCTAAAAAGTAACAAATCATAAAAAAATGGAGATTAAAATAAATCTCTTATTTTCCTCAAACCAGTCTTCATTTAGCTAGTTTACTAAAAGTATCATTTTGACGCTATTAACTCCAAACAGTACTTTGCTTTAATACACCATTTACTCCAAATTATTTTAACGAACATATAAGTCTAACCATAATATAGATATACAGATTAGGGAATAACAATTGCTTTTTAAGAAATGGAGAACTATTACCCCAAGCAAAAATTAAGTTGGTCATTTGTCTATAGTAATAAGCGCTTCGACAAATAAATGCCACCAATTTAGGTTCAATTCAAACTTTCCTTGTTATGTGCTCATTATGAAGAAATAAAAAAATCAGGCTTCAAGTTTCAAGAATCTTGTAAGCACCATCTATAAAGAACTCTTGCTCCCATTCTCCTCCATCCCCCACACTCCTCTAAACTATGGTAAAAGCAATTTAAGAGACATAGTATCCAATTCTGGATTCACAGATTTTATTTGGATCCCGTTTCAAACAACAAAAAAATTAAAAGAATGTTTGTAAGTTACTGGCAAAACAGACTGAATACTTGATATTGGTGAATTACCAACTTTGTAGATGCAGCAACAGTGTCATCGTTGCCTAAAAGAGTCATCTTTTAACAAGCCATATTTAGGAATGGGACATAGTTCAAAATAATCTGGAGTGGGTGGCAGAGTGGGGGTATAGATGAAAAGAGACTGGCAGTGAGTTGATAATTGCTGGGTGACACTAGTATAATGACAGAGTGAAACCCTCAGTGTTCTATTCTCTCTACTTTGGTGTAAGTTTGAAGTTGGCCATAATAAAAAACACTGCAGAAAAAAGCTTAAAATGAGTCACAGACACAAAACAAAATCCAGATATTAAAAAACATGTAACAAAAAAGTGTGGAAGATGACTCTTTAATCCTACTGGAATTCAAAAACAAGGAAGATCATTTGTTTTTTGTTCCTGTTTTTTTAAAGTTTTATTTATTTAAATAATCTCTACACCCAATGTAGCTTGAACTCATGACCCCATGATCAAGAGTCACTATCTTCCTCCAGCTGAGCCAGCCAGGCACCCCAAGGAAGAACATTTGTGAAGAGGAGATATTAGGCAGAGAAAGCTTCAGGTAGGAAACCAGTACTGACCAGAGCTCCAAAGGGATAAAGACTGATCAGAAAGAGCAACTTTTATACTCCTCTGCCAGGAGGAGCACATCACCAGTACAGGAACAGAAAGATACCTGCCAAAGCCACATACAGTTAATTGCTAGGACAGAGTTTGGATTTCATCTGGCATCACTTCATGTTAAAGCACAGTAAAGTGTGCTATAGGGAGAATGACAAGATATCTGAGGATATCATTCCAGTCATTTGCTGGTTGGTGGCCAGTAATGAAAATCTGAGCACTGGTTGTGGAAACAGCAGAGGGAAGAGTAAACCCAGGGACAGCCAAAGAAAGAACAAGCAGAATTTAAAAATTCAATGGCCGTACGTAGGAGACAGTAGGAACTCAGTGGCAGAGGCCTAAAGGGTTAGCTGTCTGCTAACAAAAACGGAGACTGACAGACTTAGGGAAGTGGTTTTACTACAGGAAAACAATGGGCTCAGATATGGAGTCTGAAGTGGAAATGTACTGCTCGCAATTATGATACTGTAATTTATAAGACAGACACACACACACATATAGCCATTCAAGTGTATGAGTCATTCAAAATGCATTTCTCATATATATTTGGTCTTTATCCACTCTTCTTAGCTAAAACTCCCTAAACCCCTGGAATTTCTGGAACAATAAGAACAAAAGGGAGTATATTTATTATATGTCCTCAGTTCCTGAAAACACTTCAGAGCTGTAAAGGTAAAATGGGTATCTTATTATTTATAAGCCCCTTTCCACAACTGAGTTTATGTAAATGAGCTGACTTGGAAAGCACCTAAGGATGGGGGCTGGTTGCTAGAGGAACTAACCATGAACGGAGGGTGGGACTGAAAGTTCCAAACTCTGATTTCTGGGGAGAAGAGGGGCTGTAGACTGAATAATCACTAATGGCCAGTAAAATGAATCAATCATGCCTATGTAATGAAGCCTCCATAAAAATGCAAAAGGAGGGAGTTTGGGAAGCATCCACAATGAGGAACCAGAATGCTGCCACATGCCACTGGGGCAGGTCCCAAGCTCTTTTGAGACCTCACCCTTTGTATCTCTTTCTCTGGCTATTGATTTGTATCCTTTAATATCCTTTGTAATAAATTGGAAATGTAGTAAGTAAACGGGTTTTTCTGAGCTTTGTTAGTCATTCTAGCAAATAAGCCAAACCCAAGGAAAGGGCAGTGGGAATCTCTGATTTACAGCCAGTTGGTCAGAAGTACAGGTAACAACCTGGACTCGTGACGGCATCCTGAATTGGAGGGGGTTGTTGGAACCTCCAATTTATAGCCGATTGGTCAGAAGCAAAGGTAACTTGGGCTTGCAACTGGGATATGAAGTGGAGGGAGGTCTTGTGGAACTGAGCCCTTTACCTGTGGAATCTCATTTTTCTCCAGGTAGATAATGTCAGAATTGAGCTGAATTCTCAGACTACTGTCCAAGAACTGCTTGGTGTGGGAAACCTTCACACACACACGCTCTTTAGAATTGGGTTCAGGCATCCTTTTCAGTGATACATTTAGAAAAATGGACATGCTGTTCAAGGGAGTTATCTTTACTACTTGTGCCTCACTATTGCCTTAGAAAGATGCTGTAAATGATAAATGAGGCCAAGAATCAGCAAAAGTAAAGAAAGTGGATCAGATACAAACGCACACATCCTCCCACTCCTGAAACTCCACCTTAGTAAGAATTTAGTGTTAATTCTTAAACCATGAACTAACAAAGACGGAGAATGACAAAGAAGTTAGAGCAATAAAATTACAAGTTGAAAAACAGATCACTGGTAAACATCTTAGTGGATACAGGAAAACTGAATAAGCCACCAGTGCAAGTTGAGAAGCACTGGGATGTATACCAGAGTACTCCTTGCCTCAGGGCTCAGGGTTTGGCAGTATCACGAATCACTGCAAGTGAGGGTGGGATTTAACCCAGAAATACTGCCTTAAACATCTTTTAAAGATGACATGCCTGGCTGGCTCAATCGGTTAAGCACCTGACTCTGTTTTGGCTCAGGTCACGGATCTCAGGGAGATGGAGCCCTAGGTCAGGCTCCATGCAGGAGGAGTCTGCTCCTCCGTCTCCCTCCACTTCTCTCCTTCCTCCACCTCATGCTCTCTAGCAGCATTCTCTGAAATAAATAAAATCTTAAAACAACAACAACCACTCTTTTAAAGAAACAGGGCTCTACCCCAAACCATAAGATACCTAGGAATAAACCTAACCAAAGAGGCAAAGAATCTACACTCAGAAAACTATAAAGTACTCCTGAAAGAAACTGAGGGAGACACAAAGAAATGGAAAAATGTTCCATGCTCCTGGATTGGAAGAACAAATATTGTGAAAATGTCTATGCTACCTAAAGCAATCTACACATTTAATGCAATCCCTATCAAAATACCATCCATTTCTTTTCAAAGAAATGGAACAAATAATCCTAAAATTTATATGGAACCAGAAAAGACATTGAATTGCCAGAGGAATTTTGAAAAAAAAAGCCAAAGTTGGTGGCATCACAATTCCAGACTTCAAGCTCTATTACAAAGCTGTCATCATCAAGACAGTATGGTACTCGCACAAAAACAGACATATAGATCAATGGAAAAGAATAGAGAGCCCAGGAATAGACCCTCAACTCTATGGTCAACTAATCTTTGACAAAGCAGGAAAGAATGTCCAATGGAAAAAAGACAGTCTCTTCAACAAATGGTGTTGGGAAAATTGGATAGCCACATGCAGAAAAATGAAACTGCACCATTTCTTTTACACCACACATGAAAATAGACTCAAAATGGATGAAGGACCTCAGTGTGAGAAATGAATCCATCAAAATCCTTGAGAACACAGGCAGCAACCTCTTCAACCTCAGCGGCAGTAACTTTTTTTTTTTTTTAAAGATTTTATTCATTTATTTGACAGAGAGAGATCACAAGTAGACAGAGAGGCAGGCAGAGCGAGAGAGAGAGAGGGAAGCAGGCTCCCCGCTGAGCAGAGAGCCCGATGCGGGACTCGATCCCAGGACCCTGAGATCATGACCTGAGCCGAAGGCAGCGGCTCAACCCACTGAGCCACCCAGGCACGCTCAGCGGCAGTAACTTCTTTCTAGGAACTTTGCCAAAGGCAAGGGAAGCCAAGGGCAAAAAGAACTATTGGGACTTCATCAAGATCAAAAGCTTTTGCACAGCAAAGGAAACAGTTAGCAAAACCAAAAGACAACTGACAGAATGGGAGAAGATATTTGCAAACGACGGATCAGATAAAGGGCTAGTGGGGTGCCTGGGTGGCTCAGTGGGTTAAAGCCTCTGCCTTTAGCTCAGGTCATGATTCCAGGGTCCTGGGATCAAGCCCCACATCGGACTCTCTGCTCAGCAGGGAGCCTGCTTCCTCCTCTCTGCCTGCCTCTCTGCTTACTTGTGATCTCTGTTAAATAAATAATTAAAATCTTAAAAAAAAAAAAAGGGGGCTAGTATCCAAAATCTATAAAAAGCTTAGCAAACTCAACACCTAAAGAACAAATAATCCAATCAAGAAATGGGCAGAAGACATGAACAGACATTTCTGCAAAGAAGACATCCAGATGGCCAACAGACACATGAGAAAGCGCTCCACATCACTCGGCATTGGGGAAATACAAATCAAAACCACAATGAGATACTACCTCACACCAGTCAGAATGGTTAAAATTAACAAGTCAGGAAATGACAGATGCTGGTGAGGATGCGGAGAAAGGGGAACACTCTTACACTGTTGGTGGGAATGCAAGCTAGTGCAACCACTCTGGAAAATAGCATGAAGTTTCCTCAAAAACTTGAAAATAGAGCTACCCTACAACCCAACAATCGCACTACTGGGTATTTACCCTAAAGATACAAATGTAGTGATCCGAAGGGGTACATGCACCCAAATGTTTATAGCAGCAATGTCCAAAATAGCCAAACTATGGAAAAAACCTAGATGTCCATCAACAGATGAATGGATAAAGAAGATGTGGTATATATACACAATGGAATACTATGCAGCCATCAAAAGAAATGAAATCTTGCCATTTGGGATGACGTGGATGGAACTAGAGGGTATTATGCTTAGTGAAATAATCAGAGAAAGACAACTATCATATGAGCTCCCTGATATGAGGAAGTTGAGAGGTAACATAGGAGTTTGGGGAGCTAGGAAAAGAATAAATGAAACAAGATGGGATCGGGAGGGAGACAAACCATAAGAGACTCTTAATCTTACAAAACAAAGTGAGGTTTGCCAGGGGGAGGGGGTTAGGGAGAGGGTACTGGGGTTATGGACATTGGGGAAGGTATATGCTATGAAGTGTGTAAACCTGGCGATTCACAGACCTGTAACCCTGGGGCTAATAATACTATATATATATATATATATATATATATACACACACACACACACACACACACACATATAATATATATAATATATATTTATATAAACATATATATTATATAATTATATATATAATATATATATATAAAATATTTTATTTATTTATTGGACAGAGAGAGAGCTCACAGGTAGGCAGAGAGGCAGGCAGGGGAGGGGGCAGGGTCCCCGCTGAGCAGAGAGGCTGATGTGGGGCTCGATCCCAGGACCCTGAGATCATGACCAGAGCTGGAGGCAGAAGCTTTAAACCACTGAGCCACCCAGGTGCCCCAATACATTATATGTTAAATAAATAAAAAATTTTTTTAAATGTAAAAAAAAAATAAATAAATAAAAAATAAAAAGAAACAGGGCTCTAGAACACAGGGCATGATGCATTCTAACAGCGTCTTCCCTGACCTAACAGATCATTTGGAGGTTTTCTCTGGAGTGGGTAAAAAAGGGTCTTTGAAGGATGCTCCACACAATTGAGGGGAGAGTACCATTTTAAAAAACAGGGAAATCAAGTGACTAGTAACTGCATGTTGAACACCCTGTTTTCCTTCAGAAAGAAGGCAACCGACATCTCATAGGAAGAAACAATGTGAAAAATGGGATAATAAATTATATCCTCTGAGAGATAATCAGAGAACCAAAGAACTCTTGAGAAGTAAAAATGTAATGAGAGAAATAAGAAAAAATAAGGCATATAACTAGTTAAGAAATCTCTCAGAAAATAAAGCAAAAAGAAAATGACAGAAAATAGGAGTGAAGTAAGATAATACCTGCACAGGAGGTCTAACATTTGAATTATGACATTTCAGAGCTAGAGAATAGAAACCAAGGAAAGAAAAGAAAAGAAAACAAAAAACCAACCAACCTAACAACAAAGGAAGAGTCAAAACGAAAGAACTAGAGTTTCAAAATTAAAAGTGCACACCAGGGGTGCCTGGCTAGCTCAGGTGGAAGAGCATGTGGCTTTTGATCTCGGAGTTGTGAGCTCAAGCTCCACACTGAGTGTAGAGATTGTTTAAATAAACTTAATAAATGAATGAATGAATAAATGAATGAATGAATAAACAAACAAACAAACCTTAAAAAAAAAAAAAGTGCACACCAAGTCCTTAGTATAATGGATAGAAACAGACCCAAGTGAGGCACAGCACGGTGAAATAATGATCCTAGAGACTTTCACAGGGGAAAAGGTTTCATACAAGGGATCGAGAATCAGAATGGCCATGGTCTTTAGCAGCAACAAGTCAGGGAACTAGAAGATATTAGAGCAATGACAAATATTCTGAAGGAAAATTGTTTTCAACCTAAAGCTTTGTCTGCAGCCAACTGAGTGTGAAAGTAGGACAGAGGCATTAGCAAACATGCAAGGTACCCCCTCCCAGTCTCACACACCCCTTCTTAGGAAGCTACTTCAAGTTGTATATACTCCAAAAACAAACAAACAAAAAAAAACAAAAACCACAAACAAGAAACAAAAAAATAATAATTTTACAGTAGACCAAGAAAGATAAAAAAGAAAGCAGGGGATATAAAGAGAGAGTAAACATAATCTCCAGGATGATGGTGAAAGGAAATCCGAATGGCAGTAATGCTGCAGGCCTATGGGCAATTCAACAGGTGAACACAGGTTAGAAGACTCCAGGTTCCAGACAGAGCTCTTCAGGTAGAAGTTGAAAGAATACTCAAGGCATCTGCATGCATTAAAGTGTACATATTTATACCACCGGGTGAAAGTGTGGAGTTGAATTAAGTAATAAATAGTATAAAGATGAGTAAGCAAATGAAACACAGTTTAGGCAGAAATGGAAAAAGAATCAGTACAATGTATCCTCATGATAGCACTGGGTCCCAATAATGCCAATATAGAATGATTAACCAGCCAAAATCATCTTAAGTTGGGAACATGGGGGCTGGGTGTGGTGATGGTACGCAAATTCTGTATAATGCCTCCCCCCCCAAAAATTGGGAGCAGCATAGCCAAGTTATTTATCAGCAATATGAAGGTAAATACTGTTGTGTGGGGAGTAAAAAACTCACAAAGTGAGGGGACAGATTTTTAAATCAACTTAAACTACATACATGCTTAACTGTTAAGAATGTTTTAAAAAAATCAAGCAATCTGAAAATCATACACAATTCCATCACTGAATGCCGGATGCTGCTGATGCTGCAGAGATCAGTAAGATGTGACGTCTGACTAGGATCCAGCAGGACAAGACACTGATGTCTTGTTCACACTGTGTCCTAATACCAAGGTCAGAGCATGTGCCAGTATATTTGCTGAAGGAGTGAATGAATGAAAAGAAGGTAAAGTCATTTTAGAATAGAGACACATTTTTTAAAAGGAGAAGAGACATGCAGACAAAAAAAGAGTAATCGTGGTAGTAAAGGTGACATGACAACTTGTAACAGAATAGAGAAAAGTGTGCCAGCTGGGTAGACGGTAATGGAGAAAGGCATTCTAAACACAAAGGCCCAGAAGCCTGAAGCATCTGATGTTCGTACCACATGACATGTGTGACAGGCCAAAGCACAACTCACAATTTGTTGACTTATTTATTGAGCACCTCCCTAGGTTCTTTTCTAAGTACTGCAGATACAGAAGTGAACAGAAGAATCTGTTGTGATGGGGCATGCATTTAGGAAAAGGAACAGTAAGCAAGCAAACAACTATATAGTATTAGACTGTGTGTGACAGGTGCTATGGAGAAAAAAAACAGGGTGGGGAGAGGAAGAGAGAGACAATACATGAGTGAATATAATAAAGGTGTATGGGTTTGGATAGTGGTGGTTTGCTTATTATATTAGGTGTTCAGGGGAAGATCTTCCCGATGACAGCTGAATAGGAACTTGAAGAAAATGAGTTGTACATTGTCTTGGGAAGAGAATTCCAGGCAGAAGGAAGACATCATTTGCTTGGTGGTATGTGGGACATGGTAAAGACTTTGGCATTCATTTTGAGGGAAGTCATTCTGATAAGACTGACAAGAGTCTTATGGGGACATGGGCAACCAAAGGGAGAGTGAGTGGGCTACTGCAGTCATCCTGCAGTCAGTCAGGTGAAGACTGGCTGGCCTAGATCAGACCGTGGTATGGTGGAGTAATTCTAATTACCTGAATGCCATATGGAATAGAAAAATCTGAAGTATAAAAGTATAAAAATAAATGTAAAACATATTATTATGGATTTTTAATAATGCAGTTTTTCCTTCAGCAATCTTCAACATTCCTGTTTACAAGGTATATGACTCCGAGTAGTGCCATTTATGTGCAAATCAATCCTAGATTTTTGAGGTGTCCATTAAAAATAATGCCCTCCCCCAATTTCTTATCTAGGTAAACAATATTATTAAAGGACACTATACATCAAAAATTCATTTTAAAAAAAGCACGCACTTTTTGACTTAGGAACTCTATGTTTAGGTTCTGTCCTAAGGACAACCATACGAAAATTTGTGAGTAAAGATGCTCACTGCAGGGCACCTGGGTGGCTCAGTGGGTTAAGCCTCTGCCTTCGGCTAGGGTGATGATCTCAAGGTCCTGGGATTGAGTCTCATATCGGGCTCTCTGCTCAGCAAGGGAGCCTGCCCACCCACCCCGTGCCTACTTGTGATCTCTGTCAAACAAATAAATAAAATCTTAAAAAAAAAAAAAAACAACAACCAGATGCTCACTGCAAAGAGCTACCAAATACATGTAAAAAACTAAGTAGATTAGGGAATACTACATAACCAACTGAATTTGATACAAATTTCTGTTTGACAAAGTGTCCAAAATATTAAATGAGTTAAAAGGTTACAATTAATATCAATATCAATTTTGAAAATATCGGGGAAGTACGAACATAAGCATCCTTGAATATGAAAAGGAATTAGAATACAAATAAAACAAGATTGACCCTGGGGCGCCTGGGTGGCTCAGTGGGTTAAAACCTCTGCCTTCGGCTCAGGTCATGATCTCAGGGTCCTGGGATCAAGCCCCGCATCTGGCTTTCTGCTCGGCGGGGAGCGCGCTTTCTCCTCTCTCTCTCTGCCTGCCTCTCTGCCTATTTGTGATCTCTGTCTGTCAAATAAATAAATAAAATATTTTTAAAAACACAAAAAAAGCCAAAAAACCCCCCAAGATTGACCAGGAATTAACATTGTTGCACCTGGGTGATAGGTAAGTGGAATGGGAGTGGGGGCTGTTTTATTATACTACTCTCTCTACTTCTGTTAAGTATATTTGAACTTTTCTATAATTGAAGATTAAGAAAAAAGTGAAAAAATTTTCACTAAAATGTTAACTGGCAATCTGGGTATAGACCTACAGATATTTTCTTCCTTAGCACATTAAAGTTCAAATTTTCCTTCATTCCTAGTCACTTCAAAACACAGCACTAAGTTTAACTTACCACCCAACAGGCATTTCCAAGATCAGCAATCTTCACTTGGAGCTTTTCTGCATTTTTTGGCTCAAGGGGATTAACAAGAAAATTTCCAGCAGTGGATTTTCCTACAGACAAAGGGTATCATTAATAAGAGTGTTTAGTGAACACAAACATACCCAAAGGTTAATAAAATTCTCTGAGGCAATATACACAGGCCTCTGACTGGAAAAGTTCACTAAATTTTGTAAGATAAAAAGAGTAGAGCAACACCTTCAGTTTACACAATTAAAATCTACCTCTGCCTTCAGGGCAAGTGAAATGCTGTCACCCACTACATGACCAATACAATTCACAATTAGCTAAAAATTTACACACTGAAGGTAACCTGGGAACCTGCTATGAAGTTTTATTTATAAAAACAATGGTAGATTTAGACTAGAAATTCATGAATATGCTATTCAGGGAAGGAGTACTGGGGAAGGATGTCTGTTTAGGTACCTTTGTTGTCCAATGGTCCATTTTGTTCTTGCTCATGCTCATCTTCACAGGGTATCTCTGCCCGAATGCTTTCTTGAAGTTGGCTGATGTCCTGTTCACTGAATGACTGGCCTACATTTGGTGAAGCCTGGCACATCACGGTATCTGACACCTCAGAGGTTACAGGTGTACAAGAGTCTGTTTCTTGAGATGTGCTGCTGTCTCCATTTTGGGAGCTTAGGAAACTAGGTTCCTGCTTCAAATTTTGGACATCACAGTCATTAGCATTATGTAGATCCTCTTTAAGCCTCAATGTTTCTTTATTACTGTTTTCAGTATAATTAACGATTTCAATTACTCCATTGCAATTAATTTCTGCTGCACCACCCTCTACACCACGTTCCATAAGTGTTTGATCCTGGTCAATGGTACTTGACTCTTCTAAGGAACAAACAGACAAAAAGGATGTATGTGTATGTGTATGAGTGAAAGAACAAAAAAAATTTCTCCATAAGATTAAAAATGCTTTCTAGAACTTATACAGGGTGACATAAAAACATGACTGAACATCTAAGACCTATTTATGGAAGGACAAAAAGATCTTCTTATCCTTACTCAACTGCAAAATGAAGTCTATGTTACATTTTCATAGAAAAGTCAGAAATTACATTTGAATATTACCTGCCTCACATTTATGAAGGTTCTGTATTCTTACTGTATAAGGACACCCCCAAGATGTGTTGTATGCATGAAACCACTATATTATAGAACAATGATAAAGTAATGTTAAAGTAAATTTTTGTGTATGCTCTATTTATACCAAGTTTTTCTTGGGTCATTTTATTAGGTGGGTTCTCTTTCAAGGGTCTTTCAACAGGACTCTCTGATTCTTCTTGCTTGTTTGGTCTTTTTTGCCCAGGGCCCGACTCTTTCTCCATTTCCTCAATTTCCTGCATTCGCTTCTCTAGTAATTCTGCCTGGCGCTTCTGCTTCTTCTTCAATTTCTTCTTCTTATTCTTTGACATTTTGTCAGCCTGGGCGGAGATTACAAACAGATAAAGCCTTCAGGTGGCTAATCCATTACCCCCAGTTGGAGATAAGTGTTAACTTTAATATTTCCTAATTAAATTTCACTCTTTTCCTAACATAGCACTTAAGTTTCTCATTAACTTAAACAATGTGGATACTCTTATGAAACCAAATAGAAACAAACTTAACAATAAATTTTGGTCCTCTGAGCCAACTGTGGGGCTGGTACTTTCAGACACACTCAAGTTTATAGGAGCCTAACCAGTACAAACTTGTCAAAGATGCATGGGCATTTACTGGAGAAAATATAGAAGCGCAGGAATATTTTTTTCTTTGGTTTTCAAACTCTACACAAACTGTGATCCCTAACAGAGGAATCCCTGCCCATTGCCCATAGATCAGAATTAAACATAGAAACACCTTATACTTACTGGTTTAGGCTGGGGTGCAGTACTGACTGAAAAGAAAAGAAAACTAAGTAAGAATCCTGGCATTCAGCAAGCCATGTAAGTTTATGTTACAGAGAAAACCACTGTTTTTAAAAGCAACTCTGGTACAAGTACCATCTTTTAAAAAAGAATAATACACATAAAAGTTGGCAAACTTAGAATGAATTTAAATAAATTCCTCTCCAGATAAAATCCATACATGCAAAGATCCAAGTCCCAATTTCTGGTTTCCACTATTAATGTTGCAAAAATCTCATTCCTATGTATGCTTAAAAATAGAAAATGATAGGCAACAGCCCTCATCCCCACCTAGAATCCCCATCTCTTAATTCTTCCCCTTGGCAATGGTCAGTTTTAAAAGGAGAGCAGCATTAAGAGCTATATAATAATTTGTAACATAGCATGTTATGGGTGTTAGTTTAGATTAGGTGGGAGGTAGAATCTTCCTCAAAATTTTTTTTAAAATTGTGGTCAAAGCCACACAAGGTAAAATTTCCCTCTGAACTATTCTTAAGTGTACAGTTCAACAGTTTTAATTATATTCACATTGCTGTGTAATATTTCTAGAACGTTTTCATTTTGGAAAAATGAAACTCTATGCCCATTAAACAATTTATTTCCCCCTTCTTTAGTCTTCCTTTTTAAAGGAAACCTATGGTAAACTGACATTTGTTCAACTTGAGGATCAAGTTCCTTAAAAAAAAAAAAAGTTCCTCAAATATAATAAAACTACTAAAATTAAAATCTATACCCTAAATGGCAAAAAAAAAAAAAAAAAAAAAAAAAAGGCATCACAATCATAGCCATCATTTATTTAGCACATATTACTGTGTGGCAACCTATTAACTGCTTTAACATGGAACTAATCCCAAGAACTTCTTCATGAGGGAAAAGGAAGTCAAGACACTTGCTCAAAACACCCAGCCAATGATGAAGCCAGGATTCGAACCAGGTCTGTCCAATCCAGTGCTTAAATTCAAGTTCTTTTTTTTTTAATTAATTAAATTTTTAAAAAAGATTTTATTTATTTATTTGACAGAGAGAGAGAGATCAAAAGTAGGCAGAGAGGCAGGCTGAGAGAGAGGGGGAAGCAGGCTCCCTGCCGAGCAGAGAACCTGATGTGGGGCTGGATCCCAGGACCCCGAGATCATGACCTGAACCGAAGGCAGCGGCTTAATCTACTGAACCACCCAGGCGCCCCTAAACTCACGTTCTTGATAGCAAAGTTATCTTGCCCCTCTATAGATCACACTGATCTACAAGTAAGCATGTATGTATGATCATGGTCAGAGGTAAACGCATCAAAAATAGCCACTGAATCACAAGGAAAAATATTTTAAAACAAGAATATGAATCATGAATAACTTATAGTATACAAAATATCTGTATCTAGAAGACACAATTTCTAGACTTCTTCTTTCTATAGGAGAGCAATACTGAAGATTAAAATTTAAAGTCTTGAAGGCTGAGACTTTCTTACACATAAGTACTTACTGTATCTTATTGTTAAATGAGAGATGCTTTACTTAATTGCCTGGTAATAGAATAAAAATAGGAACTTCTCAACTTTTTTCTTTTTTTTTTTTAAAGATTTATTTATTTGAGAGAGAGAGAGACTGAGGGACAGACAGAGTTAGAAGGGAGCCTGATGCGGAGGCTTGATCCCAGGACTGGCTCGAAGGCAGATACTTAACCAACTGAGCCACCTGGGTGCCCCAGAACTTTTATTAACTTCTAATGAGACCAAAGTCCTTAAAGAAAACATACCTGCAGATCCAGAAGGTGGAGGAGCTCCAGATCTCTGCCATTCGGTTGCTTCTGCAGCCAGTCTTCGGATATACTGCTCGTTCACCGACAACAAGATGTTTTCTGGTTTAATGTCAGTGTGGATGATACGGCACTTGGTGTGTAAATAATCCAGACCCTGTAACACCTGAATGGGAACAGAGCAGTAGACTTGCAAACACAGAATTCAAGTCCTTTCTGGAGAAGGAAGAAATCACAATACAACATTTTAAAAAGTAAAAATATAAGAACAATATGGTAGTTTTCAACAGAGAATAAAGCATTTTTAATAAGGCACCAAGGAAACTTCCCCAGAAAGATTACCTACAAAGTATGAGCAAAGGCAAGGGTTCATCTATTAATAAAAAGTTTTAAAAGGCTGATTGTTTTAAAAAGCTAATAGTATTTGGAGATATTTAATGAAGAACATTAAGGCTGAGAACAAAAGTCAATATGCTCTTAAAATGTTGAAATATAGGTGATGAAAGATTTAGATAGCTCTTAATTAACATTTGTTGATAAAGAACTGAGGTCTCTTGATTCCCAGTTTAGAGCTCTTTCCACCAAAACACATTATCCAAACAAATTATTTGCCTTCTGAAGTATTAATATTTTCCTGAGAGTAAACTTCTTTACTGTATATTGAAAGCTATTCAGAATATTAGAAAATACCCTTGAATCGTGTTCTACAGATAGTAATAATTTGACATAGTAATTCTCTATTAACCAATAATAAATATTTGCAACCAGAACTTCCAGATAAGGGCTCCAAATTTCCAACACCAGTCAATGAACACATCTTCCTCTCTAATGATTATTATAGGAGATGAATCTGGGAAAAATGATTATTGTTAAATCACTTAAAGAGAGAATAAACATTAGGGGCTGAATAAAACACCTAATTTTAACAATTAAAAAAAATCCCTAGTTTTTAAAATAAAAATTCTATTGGATATAGGAAACTCCTGACACTTTAAGAATATAAAACAATCACCACATAGAAAAAACTAGGATACATACTTGCTGGATAATTTTTTTGACACAAGGCAGTGGAAGCCCTTGGTAATTGGACTTGATGATCCACTTGAGCAGATGATGCCCCAAAACTTCAAAAACCATGCAGATATCTAGGAGTTTGTTAAGGAAGGAAAAGGGAGGCACAAAGGAAGAAAGAGGCAAGATAAAATGTGTTCTGCCCCAATGAAACTGTTACTGTATAATTCTTTCAGTATAAAAAGTAAGAGTATGACTAAAAAAATAACTAGCTGTCAATATTCTGAATTCCAAAGGTTAGTAATGCTTTAGTTACTGAAAACATCCAAGAAATTGGGGGGGAACTGGTTTACTGATAAAACTATGTACATTAAAACACTCAGTAGTAAAAGTAAAAGAAACCTGCACATTCAATTAGTGAAAGCACTAGCTTTAAGTTGTTGATTAGTTTTCCCTGATGCAAAACAAAACTAATGCCCAGGGTAACAACTCCTACTCTCATGTCTCAAAGCAAGAAAAAATAACTTCTGCTTTAACTGCAGGAAATAATGTACCAAAACTTAACCTAAAAAAATGTGAAGGCCAACATTTTTTAAAAACAGGAAACGGACTTGCTTTATGCTCTGTAGTTTATAAAACTAATCTTGATTCTAGTGCCACCGTGTGTTCTCTTTATGTATCAACATTCCAATCACCATAAACAGGAATAATTATGTGCAGGGCATGGCTGGGATTTTAGTAGTATGTTGCTACCTTGCACCTCCAGAAATTTCTACATATGGGAAAAGTCAAAATATACATTTGTAATAATTAATTAGTGCCCAGAATTCTCCTTTAAATAAGATTTTTCACTAAAGGAAAACCTGGGCTCCTTGAAGAAATGGTCAAATTCCAGGTGAACCTGGAAACCTAGTTGTGTGAACAGTAATGGAACACATCAAGAGAACAGCTTGGAAAGGATGACACTGGCCAAGTTGAAAGCATTTTTAAAAATGAAGTTATGAATTAACTTATAAATAAAAACTGAGTCCAAACAAAGACTTTAAAAAGTATGTGTTGTGGACAGGGAAATATCTTTTTAATTATTTTTAATTTTTTAAAAAGATTTTAATCTTCATTCTAAGTAATCTCTACACCCAACATGGGGCTCAGAATCAGGACCCTAAAAACTGAGGCAGCCCGGTGCTCCTGGAAATATCTTTTTTAGAGAAAAAGTCAAGTAACAGATATACAAAGACAGAAATAGAAAATTACCATTTTATAATTACTGTAGTAATAACTGGCTCAAGTAAGAATCAATGAACACTAAAACTACTGAGTTAAAGACTGGTTGGAATAAAGTCACAATGTCATAGTATCACCCCGGATTGCTTATTAATTATGAAAGGAAAAAGGTACTTCTAAACAGGGAAATCTGGAAGACTGTGACTTAACCTAGTGATCCAACTTATTACCCACTAATGCTAAAGTACATACTGATATCAGGTACTTTCTGATTTAATACACTGAGAAGAATAAAGCATCATCCATGCAGTATATTTGACCAAAATAATTAACTTGGAATTAATTTTCAGGAAACCATTATACAAATCCAAATTAAGAGATAAAATATCTGCTCTGTGTTCTTTAAAATAAAAAAAGCCAATGCCATTAAAGGAAAGCAACGGTCTAAATTAAAGAAGATTAAAGGGACATACTATTCAGGGAGACACAAACAAAATTTTCATAAGATAGCGTTTCAAATTCACTAGAATAACTAAAATAAAAAGACCAACAGGACTAAATATAGGGAAGGATATAGAGCAATGAGAACTCTCTTACTTGCTAAGAGAAGTATAAAATGGTACTACCACTTTGGAAAACTGGCTGGCAATTTCTCAAAGTTAAACATCCCTAGGAACAACTTCTGTCAAGATGGAGTTAACAGGGCATGCATTTACCCTCTTGTTTAAAATGACAACAACAAAAGCAGACAAAATACATAAAACAACAAATTTACTGACCCTGACATCAGGCAAATAAAGGCAGTGATCCTTGAGAAAAGAGAAACAAATGAGTTGAGTCCTATGACTGTCCCATCTTATTGCCTTGAGACTTTAGAGATCCCCTGAGATTAAGAGATAAAGTTAACAGTCTTGGGAGACCAAGGCAGCTACAGAAAAAGAGAATCTTGGAGATCTGCAGAGGGATCCCCTTAAGTATTTAGCAGAGTACTACTAATCAACATAAGTATACAAGGAAACTACTGGAGGCAGGGGGAAAATATCACCTGAGGGGATTAGAGAGAATAGTGACCAGCGTTCCCAAAAGGCTTCAACAATGTCTGTTCTCATCAAAAAGACTAGATAAATTCATAGTCATAGTCGTGGGCAGATATAAACGCATACATATAGTCAATTCACTTATGACACACTGGGGAAAGAACAAATCTCTTCAATAAATGGTGTTGGGAAAACTAGTCAGCCACATTCAAAAGAATGAAACTTGATGACTATCTTACACCACATACAAAAATCAACTCAAAATGGAGACTTCATTGAATGTTAAGACCTGAAACCATAAACTCCTAGACAAAAACATAAGTGATACACTATCAGATTAGATACTGGATGACTAAAAAACTGGTCCTAATTTTTTTAGATATAGTAATTATATTGAGGTTATATTTTAAAGTCCTTCTCTTTTGGAGATACCTTCTAAAATAATTATGGGTGAAGTAATATATCTAACATTGGCCACAAAATTAGCAGGAGGTAGAGACAAAACAAGATTAAAAAAGATCCTAAAATGCAAAATGAGTGTGTGGAGATTAACTATTCTACTTTTGTATACACAAGATATAACAAAACAGGACTTATTAAAATGCAGATTGCTGAAAAAAAAAACAAAAAACAGAAAATGGAATTTTTAAGTTATTCTATTATGCTCCTAGTTTCAATGTTTGATTTGTTGAGAGAAGCACTGTAATTTGACAGTGGGATTTTCAATCTCTACACAGTGATACAAAAATGACTGAACATTTAGTAGCTTAAGAGGGGCGCATGGGTGGCTCAGTGGATTAAGCCTCTGCCTTCGGCTCCGGTCATGATCTCAGGGTCCTGGGATGGAGCCCCACACTGGGCTCCCTGCTCAGTGGGGAGCCTGCCTCTCCCTCTGTCTGCTGTTCCCCCTGCTTGTGCTCCCTCTTAGTTTAGGGTCCCTTATATTTCAGTATGAGAAGGACAGTGCTCTGGAAATGCTCAGATACAAAGAAAAATACAGATATATGGCTCCATGCAGACATGCTTATCTTGTGAGAAGAGAATGGCATAACTCATTAATCCTTAACGCAGTGCTCTTTTATCTTTTTCAATCTCTAGTAGCAGCAAATAATGCGGGAGCCAAGACAGCTGGGAGACAAGTAGGAAGAGCAGAGGAGAAATGGGTTCAGGACAAAGAGGGACTCAGTGGATAAAACTACAGAGAAACTACCTGGTAATATTTGGAAAATATCTTGAAACTTGAAATTCAAACCCACTAAGATTTCAATAGTTTAAAAAACAAACCAACAAAAAGAACACCCTCTTCATTAGAGTCAAATCAAGATACTCAAGCATTATTGAGGAGACTATTTAGAATATTTCTAGTTTTATTTGTAGCTTTCCCAAATTAGCAGAGAGAGAGTTGGCATGACAATCATTACAAGATCAAACAACAGGGAAATAGAATCTAATGGCATCCTATTTATATTTTGTATCTTGGTTAGCTTTATTATATACATACAGAGTAAGCCATCTACAGAGTGATCACAACAGTCACAAGACTCTGCTTTAAAATGGATGATTCTTGAAGTACTTTTCTTCAGACATCAGGGATATGTGATTTATACTTCTCCAAGGAAATAACTGAATTTAGAATGACAGAAAAAATCTTTTCACATTATCACCTGTTCTCGCTCATTCCTCCATTCAAACCTCTTACCACATGATTCCAGAACCACATGTAGCCCACCTCCTTAAAAAGAGATAACTGGCAATTAACAGTGCATGTTAAGAGAAGCTAAATATGCAGAAAAAGTAGAATGAGAGAAATGTCTTTCTTTTAACATTTTTAAACAGTTTATGAATAGTTAGTTTTAGACTCTCCAATCCAAGTGAGATTCTACTTCATCTTTTATTCTGAAAAGTCTGATGAGCCGTCATAAGCATGGCTGTTGCAATAACCTTTTAATCTGATCACGTGTCACTGTGATATTAACTTATAAAAAAAATCAGTTAAGGTTCCTTCAAGAAATTCTAAAAATCCAGATAAAAACATTAAAGTCAGTTTTTTCATTTTGACAGAATGCAATCACACCTGTTTAGAGACTAAGCATAACCTATAAGCACACCCTCTTCAATGTTGAAGGCCAGTAGATAATACAACATGTTAATTTTTTCTTTTTCCAGTATTTATCATGAAAAATTACTCCCATTAAGAACCTTTAACTAATACAAGCCTAATTAAAAAAAAAAAGTTTTTCTTTTGACTTTGGTTTTATTTTCAAACATTTCTTTAAAGGATACGTGTTCCGTTAACTCCTGATATTTTAAAGTCATCTAGTAGTTGAACAACCATTTCTCTATTTGGATCATTAGGGTCTGAATTACGAACCTATAGTGGGAAAGAGACAGTATTTAGCAAAAGGGAAAGTATGGAAATAAGCCAATTAGTGGGGGAGGGAGGGAATACCTGTAGCACATGTAACAGAGGAACAATTACTCCCAAGAAAGAGATCACACAAATTATGAGAAAAACATACTAAAATTTTAATTGCTCAAATAGGCAAAGAAATAAACAGTACACAAAAGGAAATACAACTGACAAAGACTATTGCTCTAATTCAACCATTTTTCTACCAAAAGTGTGACTCTCAAATTAATGCTGGTTACCAGGCCATGAGGAAATAAGGAGCTTTCATAGGATGCAAAACAACCACTGAGCCAACATTCCTCACACTGTTTACTCAGCCGAACTTTATTCCCCGCCATAAAAAACCTTCTCAATCAAGGAAGCAAGCAGTATCGATTTAACTTTTGGGCACAGGCTCTTAGCCTGTCAGACAGACTGGCACTCTGAAAATTACTTTCTTAGAGCTCTCCTGGTCTAACACACTCACTTTACAAATGAAAACTCAAGGGCTCAGAAAAAATGACGTGGTGAGCTTGAGGATATACTGGACTACGGCTGGTCTTAAAGTCCAGGTTTTCTAACTATGAGTTTAAGCTCCTTCTACCATAACTTCCTAATTTTTAACAAAACTAAAAATAAGTTTTCTAAAATTTATCTAAGTTTTCAGATATATAAAAGGAATTAATAAACAGTGTTTATTTTATATATTTTATATTTTAAAGTATAAAATAGATATTATATACTTATTCGCACAACTTTACTTTTTTTTATTAGTTTCAGAAGTAGAGTTTAGTGATTCATTAGTTGCTTATAATAAATACTCAGTGCTCATTATATCAGGTGCCTTCCTTAACATCTACCTCTCACAGTTATCCCATCCCCCCACCCACCTCCCCTCCAGCAAGCCTCAGTGTGTTTCCTATAGAGTCTCTTATGGTTTGTCTTTCTCTGTTTTTATCTTATTTTATTTGTTTTTCCCCTTCCCTATGCCCATCTGTTTTGTTTCTTAAATTCCACATAAGTGAAATCATGTATTTTTCTCTGACTTGTTTCGCTTAGCCTAATACCCTCTAGCTCCATCCATGTCATTGCAAATGGCAAGATTTCATTCTTTTTGATGCCCAAGTAATATTCCAGCTCGCTCTCTCTCTCTCTCTCTCTCTCTCACACACACACACACACACACACCCAATATCACATTTTCTTTATCCAGTCATCTGATGGGCATTTGGATATTTCTGGCTATTGTCAGAAAATTTTAAACTACAGTAGGAAAGTAAAACATTTTTTGTGCTTTCTGGTACATAAAACATGCTCCATAAATATTTTCATTTATTTGAAAGTTTTTTTTAATGCTTTTGATGGGTATCCACCACTTCCCCTACCACAAGCACAGAATTTATAAATATTGTCATCTACCTCTACCTCTTTAAGGATATTGTAACTTTACAATAAAAATTAGTCATGCTAAAAGGTCTACATTTGGTGTGTCTTAATTCAGCAAAACTTTGTTTATGATGCTTTGTGGTTCACACATGGGATCTAATACTCACTGATTTCAGCAACCGGATTTCATCTAGTGCTGTTTCAGTATAATGTTCAGCACTTTTAACTACTTTCATTGCCACAAACTTCTTCCCCCTAAGAAACAAACACAGGCAGTTAAGACCTAATGCCCTATCCTTACTTTAGGAAGGTAAAATTTACCTGTAACTGGGAGGCAGTGACAAAAGTACAAATACTGATTTCATGTCTTCCTATACTTAAACACAGGCTATTTCTATGTAATTACTTGTAACTGTTAATGGTACTAACTGGCCAGATTTCATTTATAGAAGGAAGAAAATCTGTTCTTAGGTAATCTCAGTCAGCACACATTTCTCCATGTTAAAGTCTACCTTCTGAATGCTTCTCTGAATCCAAGTAAAACTATGAAATGGTAGTAAATATGGGGGACAACCACATCAAATCAGAAGTGTCCTGTATATCTGCATGTCAAAAGCTAAAAGGTTAAAAGCTTTAACACTTTCCTAGAAAAAGCCAGAAGAAATACTTCACATAGGTTGGTATAGGACATCATTTAAAAACTTACTCCAGCAAACAAACAAATAAAAACACCCTAAAGAATTTACATACCATACTTTCATTGAATATTTGTAATGTTTTGAATTTCCGAGTTCCAAGTGCCTTATGGATACTAATCGAATCAATCTTTTGTCTCCAAGGCTCTTCTTCCCCAGATGAAATAAATTTGCCCAAGAACATAAAGATTACCAACAACAAAATTCTGATCAAGAAATTCGTCTAGAGATAGACTGAAGGCTGGATCATCTCTGAAAATTCAGATGAAAACTCTTAGGCATCACCTAATTCTTTTGCAGGACCATTACAACTTACTGAATATCCCATGATAACCACACTGTTGAAAAGTGTCCCCAGCCCAACTTTCTGATCACATGATATCTCCCATTGAATAGATCTCCGATTTTCACAAGATGATACCCTCCTGGAAGAAACAATAAGAAAGAAACATTGTCACTTAAGTAGTAAAAAAAGGTATCTTACATTCCATTTTCCAACATCTATACACTGTTTATCAAATAAAAATGGTTTCTTCTACATAATCAATTGAACAGAAAAAAATCAGCCACACAGTATTACTGAACTCATGTTATAAAAAAAATTCTTAGGAGCTCCTGTGTGCCTCAGTTGGTTAAGCATCCAACTCTTGATTTTGGCTCAGTCATGATCTCGGGGTTGTGAGATGTGAGATAGAGCCCTGCGTTGGGCTCTGCACTCAGCAGCAAGTCTGCTGGAGAGTCTCTCTCGCCCTCCCTCTGCTCCTGCCCCACCTCCTGTGCACATATACACTTGTGCTCTGTCTCTAAGTAAATAAATCTTCATTTAAAAAAATAAGCAAATCTTTAAAAAAACCCTTAGAAAATAAGGTTAATGATTTAGAGTAAGCAAGTTGTTGAACAACCATGTTACTTAAAACAATAAGTCATTGCAAAAACAATGAATACTGTTACACTGAAAAGAAATTTAAAAAACAACAACAAAAAAACAATGTCATTCTTTTTTTTTTTTTAAGGTTTTATTTATTTGTGTGTGTGAGAGAAAGAGACAGAATGAGTACACAAGCAGGGGGAACAGTAGGCAGAGGGAGAAGCAGACTTTTCGCTAAGCAAGGAGCTCAGCGCAGAACTTGATCCCAGGGTTGGGATCATGACCTGAGCTGAAGGCAGCCACTTAACCAACTGAGCCACCTAGGCATCCCAAAATAATTCATTCTCAAACAAAAATAAGGTTATGTATCACAATATTCTTGCCCCTCAATAATCTAGTAGATTTACCTAAACATGTAAATGTTTATATAAAATCTATTTATAGTTACAGTCTCAGAATGTATTTTTATGCGGGAGATCAATGAATTCCATTTATTTAACTTAAAAAAAAAAAAGTTTGTTTTCCTAAAACAACATAACACAACAAAACAAGGAAAGCCTGTAAAGGTTGCCAACAGTGGCAGGAATCAAGGTATTTTTATATCTTTGCTTGCTGAGAATAACACAAACCAGGTTCTCCCAGATAGTTAGATACATTCTGATATCACTTGCTATTAAGTATCTGTAATTCCAGTTTAACTTATCTTAGCAATCATCACTATGAGAAAAAAGTAATGAAAAGGTTTTCTGAAAAGTCTATATGCCAAATCTCAAAATTGGGTACTTCTGGGTGATACAGTGTTACAAATGGCTTATATTTTTTGTTTAATGTATTTCTGAAATTTTCTAAGGTAAATACGTACTATCGTTTTTAAGGAAAAAAAGGGTAAAAACAGATTTAATATAAAACCAAGCTTTAATACATTAAATTGAACTGAGAGGAAATATTATTTCTTATACTTCAAGTAAAGGATGCAAGAAGCAGAAAACATCAAAACAGCCTACACTCATAGACCAAATAATTAAGTGAGATACTGCATGTACATGAATCCTAGCTTACTTGGTATCTCCTTATGAAAAGCCTTACCTTTACAATAATCATTGGGATCTTCTTGCTCATCATCATCAGACCCCAGAATCTCCTCTTCCTGCTCTGGTAGGTCACTTTCAGAGTGGGGAGCAGAGCCTCGGTGCTGAGTTTCAGATCTAAGAAATAATAAAAACATGTTCATTCCACATGGACAAAATAAAATAGGACATTAAGAAAATGTCATTATCAAAATGTCTCCCTACTTAACAGATAACATACACAGAATATTATCTAGTGGTGGCCTAAGAGAATATTAGCTATCACTTTATCTTATGTTAGGAAAATAATACCTTTTTAAAAAAAGATTTGAGAGAGAGATGGAGAGAGGGAATACACATGAGTGAGAGGGGTAGAGGAAGGAGGAGAGAGAATCTCAAGCAGACTCCATATTCAGCCTGACACAAGGGCTGGTTCTCACGACCCTTAGATCATGACCTAAGCCGCAACCAAGAGTTGGACGCTTAACAGACCACCTAGATGCCCCACAAAAATAAAAAAAAATTAAAAAAATTTTAAAAAAAGAAAAGAAAAAAAAAATTACATGATTAAATAAAATCTGGGAAACACATAAAAGTACAAAGGGAAAAAACTATTTGAACTCAATATCCAAACAAATTACTGATAAAACTATTATATTTTCTTTCAGTATTTTCCTGTATTTTTATGAAACCATGTATCTGTAATCACATGCTATATAAACAAATTGGTATCGTGCTTTTCCCATTATATTTTAAAGTTTTCTCCTCATTCCTATACCATCTCTTAAATCTTAACATATTTTCCTTAGCCATATCACCACTTACTTTGGCATATTCTGCTCAGTTGGACATTTAACTTGTTTCTAATTTTTTACCACTAAAAATAAAGCTGATGAGTATTTTTGGATAATCTTTATTCTGCATTCAGAATTATTTCCCTGAAGTTAAACCACCAGGAAAGAATAGAAACGTTCTCCCTATTTATAAAAACAACATGTTAGGGCGCCTGGGTGGCTCAGTGGATTAAAGCTTCTGCCTTCAGCTCATGTCATGATCCCAGGGTCCTGGGATCAAGCCCTGCATCGGGCTCTCTGCTCAGCAGGGAGCCTGCTTCCCCTTCTCTCTCTGTCTGCCTCTCTGCCTACTTGTGATCTCTGTCTGTCAAATTAAAAAAAAAAAACATGTTAAATATAGAAAGTTTGGGAAACAATTATTCTATTTTAAAACACTTCTATTCTGAACAAATTAATATTTTAAACTGTTTCTTTCCAGCCTGTAGCCATGAACAGCCTTTAGAATTATTATTTAAGTATGACTTTTCTAAAGAGGTTGTAACTGAGTTACATTTCCTGCCATGTATGTGCTTTTGGTACTTAAGTATTAACATGTTTGGAAAACTTAGCTTATCTGATAGGTAAAGATGGTTTCTCAACTTAAAATGAATAAAAAAATTTTACTAATTCCTTTCTCTATATGCCATCAATAAGTTGCATCAAAATTCTTGTGCACTGAAAAGTTCAGAGGCAGAAAGGCTTGGATTTGTATTCAGGTTGACACCTCTTAGTTGCCTGCTTTATAAAGTTTCATGCAAAATAAGCAGGTACACAACATTCCTTTCAGTAGTTGCAGGAAAAGGAATTTTAATCCCTATTTTTCAATATTTTATTTATCTTTTCATCATTCTGTTTCATTAGATTGTTTTTAAAAGACACAGTTTAACAGAAAAAAATTTTTAATAGCAAAACCAGTTATATGGGATACTGAGACATAGGGAATACCTTGGCAAGCATAACTAATGATTCAGATTTAGATTTTTGGTGACCTTTCCAACCTGCCTCAATTCTGGGTACGTTTTTGTCTTCCAGGAATACAAAAGTAGCTATATAAACTACACTATTCAAAGCATTCATTTTTAGTGAAAACATGTGTTTGGGAAACTTATTTAGTAAAGAACTGGCCCACTTTCCTATGTGGAAATAGGAGTCTGAATGAATTAATGAATTCCTGAATTTAAGATTAAAATGAATTTCTAAAACAGATTCTCTAATTTCAAACTTGTACCTTATATAAATAAAATTACAATTTGATCAAGAACTAAAATTTGAAACTTTTGAAAAGCTGTGAAATATAATAGTGAAAACCAGACATAAAAATGGTGAAATATTAGGATTCTACAAACATCATGGGATTCATTAAAAAATTATTTTTAAAAGATTTGGACATTCTTGGAAACAAATATATTTGTGAAGAGTTTTTTATCTTTAAGTAGAATTCCCAAAAGATTCAAGATTGAATAATGAATTGCAAGTCACAATTTAAAATACAAGTCTCTACCCTGATATGTTTTGGGACAGAAGAAACTATCCTGTTATTCTAAAACAACAGAGAAAGATTACTTAAGCGGGGAGGGATCCTACTTTTTAACTCTGGAATGTCATTTAAAAAATATAATAAATTTACATTTAAGTATTAATTTCAAATATATAATGTCTTAATATCCAGTCCTCTCTCTGTGGTGGATGTCCTGTTCCTTTAGGTCCACAGCGATTTACTCCTTCATTTTCATAGTGCACATTTCTTAGTAACTTCTGGAGAATGAGCACATGGGAGGTAAATTTAAGATCTCTCTTATTATTTTATCCTAACCCTTGATTGCTGGTCTGGGTATAAAGTAAATCCTCTGTCACCTTCTAGTTTTCAGTGTTGCTGTTGACAAGTCCAACCAATGCCTTCTGATTTCTTGAGTCTTCCAAACAGGGCTTGTTTTTTTCCCTCAGTGTTTTTTAAAGATTTTCTCTTTAATTCCCATGTTCTGAAATTTCCTGAATGGCTTTTTCAAAATCCAGCTTGCTAAGTACTTTCTGTGTAATTACTTGCAAGACAGAGATTCATTCAGTTCTGAGAAAATTTCCTGTATTTCAATATAAATTTAATCCTCTTCATTTTGTCTATTCTCTTTGGAACATGTTTTTTCAGACACTGGACCCTCTGACTCACTACATTAATTTTCTTACATTTTCTATCTCCTTAGATTCCGTTGCTGTTCTACTTTTTAGATTTATCTAACTTGTAATGTCTATTACATCTCTACCATATTTTAAATTTCTTACACTTTTAAAAAAAATAATTCTATGCCCAACACAGGCTTTAACTCACAACCCTGAGAGTAAGAATCATATGCTCTACCAACTGAGCCAGCCAGATGCCCCATTTTTGCTCTTGAATGTTCCTTTTTTACAGACTCCTGCTTAGTTTCAATGAGGCACTATCTTTTACCTTAAGGATACTAATTAAAGTTTCCTTCTGATCCTGTATCATCTTGGCTTTCTCAAACTACCCATGTGTTACTAATGCCATACTTATGTAACATCAGACAACTGAAACAAAAACAGAAAGAAAAGAGAAATTCTGAGGAAACAGAGACAGTTACTAGTAGATAATGACGATAATATGGTGATATGATTAAAGAATTCAAAATCACTTTAACTTCCATTGACAATGGGTGTTAAGAGTAAAGAACTGACAGAAATGCTACAGAAAGAAATTTCAGCTTATTAATATTAGGAACTAAAACCCATTCTTCCTAGAACAAAAAAGCCGAGTTCTAAAATAGTTTCAGTCTGTGCTTTGAAATTCTTCATACCTACACTTCTGGTCTCAAAATTCTGCTATTCATGTTCACAAGGAAAAAATTATGCCAGCACTTTAAAGCTCTCAAAGCATATAAGATTAAACCCAGAACATCTAAAAAATCTCATAGAAATTGAAATGGACAATGGATCAAATTTTAATAGCAGCATGATTTCAGAAGAGATAACTTGATCCAAACAGCAGTACTGTTAGAAATAGGAATGTACTTGACAAGGGTACAGAATGAAGCCAAGGCAAAAATCTGTGAGGAAGGCAGAAAGTAGTGGAAAAGTTTGGCAGTTTTGTTCCTCTTATATTTACAAGCAAGACTTGACACAGAAGGAGTAAAAACAGATAAAAACCATATTTGTCAGGGTATTCCCCCTTATTTCTAAGGATCTTTTCAATTTAGATTCCATTTCTGGTATAATCCTCATTTCTAAGCATCTTTACCTCATTCTCTAATCAGCCAAATAAATAATAAAACCCAAGTGCCAAAACTACGGTCTTTTGTGAGCAAACACTATATATTTATAATTGCCATAAAGAATATGCTACTTATGAGTTTTTACTTATACTTTACTTATACACTCTTTTTTTTTTTTTTTTTTTACAAAGTCTATTACTAACCAACTAAATAGGTTTATAACCTATTAGAAGGTTGGTTTGAAAAACAGTGACCTAGAAATTATTTTTAACTTCTTTAGGGAGATATCATTCACATCCCATAAGATCACTAATCTAACGCATATAATTCAGTGGTTTTAGTATATTCACAGAGTCGTATTACCACAACCTTAATTTAGAACATTTTCATCACTCCCACAAAAAACCCAATCCAATTAGCAGTAACTCACCATTATACTCTTCCCTTAGACTCAGGAAACCATTAATCTACCTTCTGTGTCTATGAATCTGACTTTTCTGGACATTTCATGTGGAATCATTCAATATATGGTCTTTTATGACTACTTCTTTCACATAGCATAATGTTTTCCTAGGTTTACCCATGTTGTGGGATGTATCAGTACTTCATTACTTTTCATGAATAATATTCCATTATATGGATAGATCACATTTCATTTATCCATTCATCAACTGATGGGCATTTGAGTTGTTCCCATTTTTTGACTATTATGAGTCACACTGCTATGAACACCCCAGAAGCAGCATACGTGACTATGTTGACAGCAGCACCATCGGTAATAACATTAAGCAGGAAACTAAATGTCCATCAAGAAGAGAAAGGATAAGTCATGGTATTTTGATATAGTAAAATATTATATCCAACAAAATGAATGAATTACACTCATAAAACAGCATGAATTAATTGCCCAAACAAGATGAAGTGAAAATAGCAAGATGCAGAATACATGTATCACTTTAACCAAATTTGAAACACACACAAAATGGCCAATATAAGGAAATAAAGAACTGCAACTAGTAAAGATCTAATACATAGTAGAGTGATTACAGACAGCAAAACTGTATTACACACATTAAACTTT